ACCAAATAGTTTTCTTTATTACTGGAATGTCTGTTTGTTTTTCATTTCATAACGAAAATTTTTAAAAAAATACTTTTTTTACCCTTTTTCGATTTTTGAACAACCGAAATGGATTTTCGATTGTTCAAAAATCGAAAATAAGCTAATTTTGGTTATTAAACAATCGAAAACAGTGGGGCTCATCTAAGCTTTAGGAATACGCAGTTCTATTTTTTATTGTTCAGCATTCGAAAATGTCATATTTTCGGTTGTTCAACAACCGAAAATATGACATTTTCGAATGCTGAACAACCGAAAAATAAGAATGTAAATTCCAAGCTTCTATCTTATTTTTGGTTGTTCAACATCCGAAAATGTCAACTGAAAATAGGACTGCGTATTCCAAGCTTCAGTCATATTTTCGGATATTGAACAACCGAAAATAGGACTGCATATTCTAGAAGCTTGCTGGAAAATAAAAATGCAAATTTCAAGCTTCTGCATATTTTCAGTTATTAAAAAACCGAAAAAGGGTAAAAAAATATTTTTTAAATTTTTTTGTTATGAAGTGAAAAAAATGAACATTCCAGTAAGAACGGAAACTATTTGGTATTTTACTAATAATATAAACTATAACGGATATATACGTAATTTTCCCTATAATTTATTGGGATCACCTCTAAAATTTGTTACCCCATTAGATATATGGAACGACATGGTTTTTACGAGTCCTGGACTCATATGGATATGTGTCCCCTCTTCATGAACTATTTTTTGGTTAGATTTTGGACCTAAATTTGTAGGTATATATTATCTATAATATGGAGGACATCAATGTATTTAAAATAAATAATTTTTAAAATTAAAAGTAGTATTTTTTTGAAAAAATTTCAAATCTTCGGCTTTTTTTTTTTTAAGATGATGTGGTTTTCATCAAGGGTAGTTAAGCGTTCCCCACGCATTAACCACTTTACCATCAAAGAAACATAGTTGGAAGTCCACAAACGAAGGCAAGATTTTTTCGGATACGGGAAATTTGATATCTCAAAATGTTAAATAAGGTCGCAACTTTATATTATAAAAAACAAGATTTACCTAAAAAATCTAGTAAAAAATAGTATTTCAAAGTTGGAAAACTTCTAATTAATCATCTCGACCTTTAGATGTATGAATCAAAGCAAAAAAAAAAAACAAGTCTCAAAAATAGTTCATCTTGTAACAAGTTACGTGGAATGTCTATTTTCAATAATTTGAAGTGTTTATAGATTAGGTCAATCTACCCTGTTTTTAAAATTTTAAATTTTTATAATTGGGGTTGAACATAGATTTTCAAGCTGTGATAATGTTTATGACACTGATATGAACTCTCTAATTGAGGAAGATCTAGGTTCTTAACAACATAAGTTCATTTTTATTTTTAAATATTCAAAAGGTAAATGAAAAATGATCAGAAAAAAATGCATTCCTATTATGACAAAAAAGTGCATTCCCAACTAAAAAATATATATAAAAAAATGCATTCCTATTATGGAAAAAAGTGGATTCCTACTAGGGGTAAGGGATTATTTCCCCACTTAACTACCGAAAGAAATAACTGCATGAAATAAATCATGCCCTACGATTGCATACTATAATTGTAAATACATATTTGTATTACATCCATTAATTAAAATGAATAGTCCAAAACATTTACAATAAACCATTCTTAAAAGGAAAAAAAGTTTATATAAGGATGCAACCTTATAAGGTAGCATTATGGATGCACCTAAAAAATCCATCGGAAAAGATAGTTTTAATGTTTAAAAGCCCTTTGATTGATCATCTCGACATCAAGATGTATAACCATGAAAAATAAAAAGATTTGAAGTCTCATAAATAGTTCATTTTACAACATATTATCTACACTGTCCATTTTCAAGATTTTTGTATGTTTATAGAAATACTTGATTTTAACCATGTTTCAAATTTAAAATTTTATAATTAAATATAAAAATAGATTTTGAAATAATCCTAAGAACATTTTACTTTAAAAATTATATACCATGTTAAAATTTGAAGGTGCACCGATGCATCAAAATTATATACTATGTTAAAATTTGAAAGTGCTCCTTACCTCTACAGCTACGGATGCATCAGTATGCCACCTGCACCTTTCTTAAAATTCAACATTCATTATTTTCATGTTCATGAATGGGGTTATCGAATCTACCGATTGGGAATTTGGATCCAAGACCGTTTCTAAAATTGATTTTAAGAGGCAATGCACAAGTATAAGATGTGCCTGTTGACCGTAATCTCTTTTAAGAATCCCCTATGAGCTTGAATGGTTAGCAGTTGATATGTAACATAATTATATCTGAAGTCCGTCATGTTTGATTCCTACAATTGAACTACATCATCATCCATCTCAACCCAATAGTAATTATTTGAGGACATTAATCTTGTTATATAATTGTGATTAATAAGTTTTATATGTATTCACCCAAAAAAAAAAAAAAAGTAAAAATGTTTTATTTGTAGAAAAATAAGACTCATCTTCCGATTCGAGGTCTCTCTCCCTCTTTTCCCCGGAAACCCTATCGACTCTCTCTCTCGCTCTCTCTCTCGACTCGATCCCTCTCTCTCTCTCTCTCTGTCTAGAATCCGCTCCAGCTTCCTCTTCTCCCCAAGAACCCTATCTGCTCCGTCTCTCTAAAAAGCCTCTCGACCCAGTCTCTCTCTCTCTCTAGAATCCACACCCTCCATGGCTGCTGCAACAGTGGTGCCAAGAAACCGAACCGCGCAGAACAACGCAGATGGCGATGAGAGCCTCATCTTCGAGACGAGCCCTGGCGTGGAAGCCATCTCCACCTTTGATCAGATGGGTATACGCGATGACCTCTTGAGAGGGATCTATGCCTATGGCTTTGAGAAACCCTCAGCGATTCAGCAGAGAGCTGTTATGCCCATCATCAATGGCCGCGATGTCATTGCCCAGGCCCAGTCTGGGACTGGAAAGACCTCCATGATTGCCCTCACTGTTTGCCAGATGGTCGATACCTCTTCCAGAGAGTAAGACCCATCTTTTCCCTATCTCTCTAGGTTCTCTCTCTAGAGTTGTTTCCTGCTCTTTCCAAATTTTCTCCTGCTCTTTGTATCTGTATGGTGCGTGGACTCTGTATATTTGAAGTCCCTGTTTATTCTTCCTCTTTCTTAGATATGTCATGTGCACTGAAATTTGTAGCCTTGTTTCTTCTCCATTTCTTTAGCTTGTTTATCTCTCTTTTTCTGTTATTTGTCTTTTTTCTCCATTTCTTTATAGCTTGTTTATCTCTCTTTTTCTGTTATTTGTCTTTCTGAATATGTTACTTTTCTCGTTTCAATTTCTCTTTTTATTCCTTGGATACTGTTGTCTATGTTGCCTTCTGATTGTTTGTTTATTCACTGTTAATTTTGACAATAACTGCATTTTTTTAGTAAGTGAGGTTACCACTGATGTGAAGGTTGGTTTTGATTATAAAGGATTCTTTTTGAACTTATAGACTTTCTTTTTCTCTTATTTGAAGCATTTTGGTTACACACATGGGAATGTAGTTTTTTAAGCCAATTTGAAAGAGCTCTGAACAACTGTAGGCAAAATCGGATAGGATTATTCAGACAGATGGGGAATGAGCATTGACATAGTCTGTGCTCTCTGTGTGGGCACAGAGAAAAATTCTTGGCTACTAATTTAATGTTGAAATTAATCTATTGAACCATCCGAGTTTTCGAAAACAAAAACCATAATCCTTGAGCTTCTCGTTGAGTGGGTTCTTTTCTATTCGATGTATTCATCACATTTATTCATTAGAAAAATTTATCCGTTTTAGGCTTATTTTGGAATTATTGCAATCAGTGACATAGTTGGGAAGTTGGGATCATCAATTTTGTCTAGGTTTATCAGAGTTGCCCAGCTCTTTTCAATAGTGAGGACTTTGAAGTCATTGAGATTTGATTGGGGGACCCCCAGACCTCTTCAAGCTACTAGTCATCAACTTTTTAAGCCTACCACCAGCAGATGTTGAACTGTATTGTTCAATGAATTTTTTGTAACTAGAGACAAGACAAACATAAACCTGTGATATGCAGATGGTTGGAAAAAAAGGTTAGGAAGTGAGTTAGATGTCTCCAACGGAAAAGGGAGCTTAATCACCTCAAATAGTCAAGGAACTGTGCCTGGGATTTTTATGTGGTGTACTTTCTTTGAAATGGCTTCCACATTTCTTTTGAGGTGTCATAGTCCTCAAGAACTTATGGGTCCTTTTGGTGCAGTTGACTCAAGCATGCAAGTCCTAAGGGTGTCCAGGCTTAGACATTGCGGATTTGAAAATACTTACATAAATTTGTTGGTCATATGGTTTTGGAGGCTATAGTTAACTAAAAAAGGTTACGGAGGCTTGTATGCACAGCTACTTGCCACAATTTGTTGACTCAATGAGCAAGAGTGTCGGTCGAGTTAGATCTGTCCCGTTGGTCAATCCAAGTGGTGTGAGTATTCTGCTCTAAAATTCAATAAGCCAAGTTCCTGCAAGGCGACGCCAAAAACATGTTGGTAATGGGGTTCTGGAGGCTGCATAAGTTGTTGACTCAATCCGCAAGGGTGTTGGTCGAGTTAGATCTGGTCATGTTAGTTATTCCAAGTTGTGGTGGGTGGTTTTTCCTTAAAAACTTGTAAAAATTCCATTCCCGTAGATCTTCAACAAGCCAAATTCCCGCAAGATGATGGGGAAGAACATGAGACAATGGGGCTTTTGTATGTCAAAGCTTAGGCATCTTCTTATCATGGATCTGGTGTAAAGTTGAGTAGCATTGCAGAATACGGTTTTGGTTAGATTCTTGGTGTACCTAAAAATAACTTTATAGGTTTCTCAACTCAGATGTACTTGCTGAAGTAGGGACAAGAGATGTTTGAGAAGTCTCTTCTTGATGTTTTAGATGTTTAGTATCCTTTGCAGCAGCAAGGATGGACTGAGATGGTGGGAATTAATGTGTCTTTCACAAATCTATCACTAGAATCATTCCTTTAGATGAATATTGGGATCCCTAAGTGTTTTATGTTCAATGAGTGTAGTTGAGATGAGCATGTTGAGATGGACGAGTGGCAAGATGAGAAATGATCGAATTCGAAATGAATACATCCGAGGGAACTTAAGGTAGCTCTAATAGGTGATAAGATGAGGGAAAATGGACTAAGGTGGTTTGGTTGCAGCGTCGACCTAGAACAACACCAGTTAGGAGAGGTGATTTGGTCCGGGATGAATGCTCTAAAAAGACAAGGGGCCTAAAAAGACATGGATGGGAGTAGTGAGAAGAGATATGATGACTTATGGTCTAATTGAGGGTATGACCCTTGATAGACCAAAATGACAGAACATGATTCGTGTAGCCGACCGCAATTAGTTCGGGCGAGGCTTGGTGATGGTCATGATGAAGAGTTTTATGTTAAATGATACTCCAAATCATATGAGGCTCGGAGGATGATGATGATGATAGTCCAAATCATTAACTATCTTTTGTAGTTTGGATGTAGTTGCTGAAAAACATAATTCATGAAGCAGAAATGAACCAAAAAAAAGAAAAAAAGAAAAAAAGAAAAAAAGAAATCATTGTATATTTTGAAATCAGAAATTATTCAGCAATTTGTTACTTTTTTCCGATTGGAGTGCTAATCATTTATGTGAAAGCAATACTGACTGTTGAAGAAAGAAGTTGTGAAAGCTTTTTTGCTCTAAACTATTCAAACTCAATTGAGAGTCGTCATTATCATTTTAGCCCCTTCTCAATTAATTGCGTTCGGTTACATGAATCTTGGTTCTCCATTCTGTTCTATTAAATGCCATATCCTCAGTGAGGTCATAAGTACCCATATTTTTTTGGACTGTTTCCACCCATGTCCATTTGGGCCTACCCCTTACCCTTTTCAATCCTTCCACTTGAATTAATTCGTGCCTCCTAACAGGTGTTGTACTTGGTCGGCGCCACACATGACCAACCGATTTAAGTCTACTCTCTCTCATTTTATCGCCTATTGGTGCCACACCTAAATTCTCTCGAATAGATTCATTGCGAATTCTATCCCTTCTTGTCTTGCCACTCATCCATCTCAACCATCTCCGTTACACTCATTCTATGGGTATATTATTTTTTTTTCGCCCAACATTCCACCCCATTGAGCAAAGCTGACCTTACCGCTGTCTTATAGAACTTGCCCTTCAGCCTCATTGGTATGCGGTGATTACATAAAATTCCATTTACACATCTCCACTTCGGCCACTCAGCTCTAATTTTGTGTGAGGCATCTTCTTCGATCTCTCCATTTTTCTGGATTATCGACCCAAGATATCGTAAGTGCGGCCTTTTTTGTTTTACATGGCCGTCAATCTTAATTACTTCCTCGTCTCTACTCCTAGTATTACTAAATTTGCACTCCAAATGCTCTGTCTTAGTTCGATTAATTTTAAAACCTTTGGATTTTAGAGCATCCCTCCAAGGTTCTAACTTTGTGTTGACGCTGTTTCGGTTCTCATCAATGAAAACTATGTCATCTGCGAACGACATGCACCACGGTACCTCATCGTGTAGGTGCCTAGTTAAGTCGTCCATAACTAAGACAAAGAGGTACGGGCTCAATGCTGACCCTTGATCTAGACCTATTGTCCTTTCCATTAGTTGTTCATACACTTGTAACCGCTCCATTGTACATATCTCTTACCAAGTCTATGTAGTATCTAGAGATGCCTTTCTTTTCCAATGCCCACCAAATCAAATCTTAAGGTACTCTTATCATAAGCTTTCTCTAGATCAATAAAGACCATGTGGAGGTCCTTTCCCTTCGCCCTAAATTTCTTAATCAGTTGCTTAAGTAGGAAAATAGCTTCAGTTGTTGACCTTCCTGACATAAAACCAAATTGTTTTTCAGATACACTCGTTTCATGCCTTAGTCGTTGCTCAATGACTCTTTCCCAGAGCTTCATAGTATGACTCATATGCTTGATCCCTCGATAGTATCAGGATTCATGATGAGTTTGGGCAAAATTTTATGTTGGCTGCCTACCTAACACAACCATATCCTTTTACCCTGGCATGGGATGGGTTAAGGAAAAGTTTAAGGTCATCACCCTTCTTAGACCAAAACTCAATTGAGAGTATTACACCTAATCTGTTTGGAGTCGCCAGTTGTAACCTATGAAAGTTGTACAAAGTGGACATGTATGTTGCTAATTGGAACAAAGAGAAAAGGAAAGACCTTTTGGTTGCACGAAATCATTTTTCGGGTGAGTAAAATCAATTAAGCAACTGAAAAAAAAAGGTGGGTCAGCTTTGTTTGGTTTTCTGGGAAAACTTCAAGGATTTGAAGCCTTGACCTCCCTCAACCAAACTGATATATCTAACACCAAGCTGAAGCCTAAGTGACATGCTTCAACGAAATCACTCCAGAAAATTTCTCTGTTTTGGTTTATGTTGATCACTTTATCTACAACATATTTACTTTATTTGAATAGAAGAAGCTATGAGAGTTTCAAATGTATGCTCCTTAAACTTGTTTCAAAGTATTTTCATGCATCTATAACCTTTCACTTTGATGATATTATAACCGATCAAAGAGGAAAAATAAAATCTAATCAATTATCAAAAATAAAATTCAGAATTTCTGTTGATGTGAAGGTTGTTTTAGACCATATAAGGGTTTATTATTATTGAATCTTTTTTGAGGTAATTTGTCCTATTGAGCTTCTTCTACTTTTTTTTTGAGGCATTTTGTGATACATTTATAGATGGAATTTCTAATTCTGCATATAGGAATGCTGTCCTTTAAAGTTTAAAACCTTTTGTGAAAGCTCTAAATTATAGCAGTCAATAATGGATGGCAGTATCCTCATAGATGTGGAGTAAGTACTGACATGGTCTGTTCCCTTTTTCTGGGTTAAAAACTTGGCTACTAACCTAGTGTTAAAGTCATTATGACTTGGGTTTCTGTGTAAGCATTCATCGCCTTTTTTCCATCAGGTATATCACTTCCATATCTTGTAATTTTCTAGCAAATGATTCTTCATTCATAGAGTTGAGTCATTTTCTTGAATCTGGCTGATCCATTGTAATTAGTAAAATCAGAAGGACTCAAGGATCATTGACTTCATCTGGGTTGATAAAGTTAAGAGCTTTCTTCATCAATAAGGATGTTGAAGTTGTTGATATTTGATAAAGTTGTACAATGGAGAAGGTAAGAGTCTGAGATAAGTGCCTTCAACTAAAAGGGACTATGAGTCACCCGATTTGTCAAAGAGCTACTCCTTGGTTTCTAATGTGATGTGGTGCTTTCCAGAATAGCTTCTAAGATTTCTTATGAGGTCCTTTTGGTGCATTTGACTCAATCATGTGAGTTCAAAGGTTGTTGGGTCTTCGCGATTGAGGAATTGAAAATGCTTGTTTTAGGAAATGTTTTCTACTGGTTTTGAAGGCTACATTAACTGAATACGAAAAAGTTTTGGAGGCTAACAAATACAATCACTTCACAAGATTGCCAAAGGTGTTGAGAGCGCGAGATCTCATCTAGTAGGTTGACGTAAGTGTTGTGGGTGGCTTTACTGGAAACCCTTAAAATTTCCATTGTGATTATCAATAAACTGAATATTGAAAAAAAGAAGAAGCCAAATCCCAACAAGGTGATGTGCAGAACATGCAAGAGAACAGGGATCTTATATGTCAAAGCGTAGGTTCGCTATGATCATTGATCTCATGTAAGTTTGAGAAGCATTGCGGCTTGGGGTTTTGGTGAGATGCTTTTGTACCTGAAAGGAACTCCGCAGGTTTCTTAACTTAGCTGTACATGTTGGAGAAGAAACAGGTCTTTGATTGGTCTCTGATCTTTTAGTATCCTTTGAAGCCTCAAATATGGACAGTCATGTTTCAAATTAATGTCTCTTTCACCAATCTATTGCAAGAAACACTCCATAATATATATTCAAAAGAAACATTCCACAAGATTGATATTCGGATTCCCAAAGTATCTGTGTTGAAGGATGGCCCACAATCAACAATCGTTTCACACATCGTTTGCAGTTGGTTAGAATACGTTGTTAATGAAGCAGAAATGAACAAAGCATAATCCAATCACTGCGCATTTTAGATTTAGAAATCATGTAGTTAAGATGTCAATGATTTGCACTACTCCCATTGGTGTAACAACCAGTCATGTGAAAAACATTACTTGTGGATGAAATAAATGGGATAGTGCAAAATATCTTCTAAAAAGGTTGTGAGGGGCTTCGTCTCTTGCATCTATTTTGGTGTGGATGAGAAAGAAAGCCACTTGAGTGTTGACACCCAACTATTTCAATGCCTCTGGTTCTAAGACATGAAAAAGCATATACAAAGTGGACTCTATGTTGCTTATTGGTCATTGTAATAATAATAAAAAAAAAAGGACAAACCTCTCGTTGCATATAATCAGTCCATAAAACTTTTTATATTTTGGTTTATGTTGGTCTTTCTATATACAAAGTGGAACCTCTGTGGCTTGTTAGTCATTTTTTTTTAAGAAAAAGATAAACCTCTGTTTGCATGAAATCACGGCATAAAATTTTTATATTTTGATTTATGTTTGTCTTTCTATTTACATTATCATTGTTATACATCATCATTGTTTCTCTTTTATCTGAACTTAGGAAGCTATGAGAGTTTCAGATGTATGCTGCCTTAAATCTTTTTTCCGATTAGGACGTTCATGCATCTGTAACCTTCTTTTTTATTATATTATAATTGATCAAAGAGGAAACCTAGAAATCATAATTATTTATAAACACGTCTGTGTTTCTGATAGAGAATTGTGCCAACTTTCCCCTCCTTTGTCAGCATCAGTTCTATAAACTGGCCACAGAATCTGTGGGGGACTGCTGTTTGTTAGAATTCACTCATAGAGGGTACTTTTTCATTTAGTAGTAAGGCCACAATGTAATCAACCCAGTCACATCAGAGGCATTTTAATTATTCCCTTTCCCATTTTATGTTAATTTGCTAATTCCTATGCACAATAATCATTATATTGAACTTAGTAGGATCACTTTCATTAACACAAAACTCAAGAGATATATTATCTTAATACCAGTTGGAAAATACTTGTTCCTTCCTAAAAAATAAATAGCGCAAGAAGTTGCAGAGTGGCAGCAAGTACTTCGATAAAAGTTGAAGAATTGCAACAATATGAAATGTGGCGGGTTTTGATATGCATTCGCTGTCCAATTAATGTTCCTCTCACTGTTCCTGATCCTGCCTTGAGTCTAGCTTGGAAACTCTGATAGAAATTAACCTCCTTTTTTGGTAAACAATTTGGAGAAGAAGAGCATTCATTCAATTGAATGAACTGAGATTCGATCAATCATCATTTGAACTTTACTCACTAGAAACTTAATAAATAAATTTAAACGCTAAGATTGAGTCCACTTATTGTGTAAGAAGTTGCCTGAGAACCATCTCTGTAGTTTAATCCTTTAACTCTGTAACTCTTCTTGGTAATCTTTATGTAAAACATAGTAGGAAAAATTGGATACATGCATCTAAAATGTGATAGAGACAACCATAGGAGGTTTTTAATTTTCTAAAGAGGATTGTAGACCCACCCTATTTCACATATCAGAAAAATTGAAGATTCCTGAGTTGTATTGCTAGTGAAGGATTGGATTGCTCACTTTTACTTCTTTGACTAGAGCATGCCTTTTCTAAAAGAAATGGCTGATTTTTTTAAAAATTTCCAGTCAAAAAATTCTATCTGAAGGATCATATATGCCCATTTTCATTGGTGCCAAAGCATATTCTTGACAATGTATCCTAGAAATGAGGTTGGCATAACTTGTTTTTTGATAATTTGTTGATGAAACCTTTCATCATGCAGAAATGCTCAAATCCTATTTCCTCATTTCCAATATATTCCTTATATATATATATATATAGCATTTCACAACTATGTGAAGCAGATTATATATATAACATTTCACAACTATGTGAAGCAGATTAATAAAGATAAGACCATTGCACAATCTGGAAATCGTCTCAACCTAGTGCATTGTTTGTGATTGATGATAATTTTGAGTTATTAACTTTACACTGCAGGGTACAGGCCTTGATTCTTTCACCTACTAGAGAGCTTGCTTCACAGACTGAGAAAGTGATATTGGCTATTGGCGATTACATAAATGTGCAAGCACATGCATGCGTTGGTGGAAAGAGCATTGGCGAGGACATAAGGAAACTAGAATATGGAGTTCATGTTGTTTCTGGAACACCTGGGCGAGTGTGTGACATGATCAAGAGAAGAACTCTACGAACGAGAGCTATCAAATTATTGGTCCTTGTGAGTGCTTCAGTTTCTGCATTTTCTCTTATAAATTTATGGAAGATAATTTTCTTGTTGCTTTAGGCATTTCATATTACAGTTTACTTAATGGAAAGCATCCAATTGTCCATTGGACTATGGAAAAGTATAGTTCATTGGAGTGATCACCATTTGGTGAAATGGCCAGTGGTGGAGAGAGTGGGACCAACCATTGTGGTCATGTTTCATTCTCTTGGGTCCCACTCTCTCCATCTCTATCTATCATCTCAGCAGATGATAATGACCTTGATGAACTTTGTTCTGCTCTTTTCTGATAACATGATGTATATTTGTTGTAGCTGTGACCTTCATTTTGGTTTATTGGAACAGGATGAGTCTGATGAGATGTTGAGCAGAGGTTTCAAGGACCAGATATATGATGTTTACCGATATCTACCACCAGAACTTCAGGTACATCTACATCATTTTCTATTGAATTACTCTTACATGTGGAGTAACTTCTGCTGTAACCTTCTGTCCAGAGCAGGAATTCCTTTAACATGTTTTCCAAGTAATCACTGTATTTATAAAATTTAATTGTACCTTGTTCTCGAAATCTGATTTTTGAATTTAGTATATCAAAAAAATTTATAGAACCTATATGATTTAAGTTATTGGCTCTCTACATTACCTAGTGCATTGACATCTATGAAGTAGATGATGTATGAGAAATAGATTGATTGTCACATCCGTTAGCCATCTGTAGAAACCATCTTGGACTGTTCTGGGTTGTGTCGATCCGTAAGTGTCCTGTTGCAACTTCTCAAGCTTCCTAGAATGAAAGTGCTCAAAACTTAACTAGTTTGCTAAACTATAGGAATAATTGCATCCTTTCCTAATTAAAACATTGTGTGAATTCCTGCAATGTTACTTAATAGTTTTTTGTGAAAATGATTGCATTGGATAAGTAAAATGATTTAATTAATATAATAAAAAGAAAAACAAAGTAAAATGATTAATAGATGGTCTCGTTGCTAAGGAGCAGCATACTAAGTAAAATGGTTAATAAACGTCTATTAAACAGTTATTTATTCTTCAAAGTACGCTTCCACTTGCTTTCTCATTTCGCACTTTTGTCGCAACCCCAGAAATATACATGGAAACACTTCAATGCCCTTGGTCTAGCGGTTAGCCAAGACTTGAACTTGAACTGGTGGAAGGCATTTGTTGCTGCCTCAAAGGTTATGGTTTCAAACCCTACTCAACCTATCAAAATAACTTACTCACCAATCTCCTTATAACCATTAGGTTGCCAATTCTTAGGTTTCAAAATCACTGACTGTGTAATCATATCTAGTTATGATTAGTTCACATATCTGTTGGGCTTTTTACCGTGATGACTTGTAGTTATTAAGTGCATTCTAGGTGTCATACGATGTTGTTAATGGTTCGTCCAACCTGTTACTGCGGCATAGATGTCAAGAACAATCAAGTGAGACATGTCAAGGCCGACATTTTGTATAGTATCTCTATTAGTAAGGAAGATATTATGAAATATGTTGAGAAAGTTTACTGTAATCCGTTGGATATTGGGTTCTCCTCTCTTTTCATAAATATCCATCATCTCATTGGATGGTGATGATCCCAATAGATTATGTTATTCATAGTCCATTGGGTAATTGTACCCTTTCCCTTAGTGTTTCAGCACTTTGGTTCACTTGCCCAAAAGAATAAACAGAAGAGGAGCTTGGTTGGCAAAAGTCGTCACTGGCGTGGCTGCTTGCTTTTACAATCTTGCAATAAATGTTATCAAGCTGTTTAATTAAGATATGCATATCATTCTTATTTTTTATTGAATGGTAACATTTGCTATTTTTGTAAGAAAGTAAATAAGGTGCATTTCATCCCTTTTCTATTCCCTCTCTTGAATAAATAAAGCTTTTTGGCTGTTATCCTTATGTTGCTAGTTGCAAATCAATTGAAAAAAATAACTAATGCTTTATTAGTTCCACAAAAGACATTCTGAATTTTCTCTTGAGTAAATCAGCTTGGTCTGCCAGTTGGGGCTCGGTGGAATTGGCTGTGCTTCATTATATATATTTAGACCCCAATCTTTCTCGATGGGCTTTTTCTTGTTTTGTTCTTTTGGGTAGATCAATGGGGATTACAGGCCCCTGTAATTAGGGCTTAGGTGGTACTACCACCATGACCCTAGCCCATTCTCGATGAGCTTGCATGTGTGTCTCTTTTCTTCTTTTTTATTATACTTGTATAGAGGTGCTTCTAAAACTATTTTTAATGGCTCTTGTAGGTTGTCTTGATTTCTGCCACGCTCCCTCATGAAATTTTGGAGATGACAAACAAGTTTATGACAGATCCTGTAAGGATACTCGTAAAGCGTGATGAATTGACCTTGGAGGTAGGCATGTGCTTTTGATATTTATGTTAGATAAATGCCTGTTCGAGATTGCCTTATTCTTATGCATTTCTTGACAAATTTTCAGTATGATTAGTTTTTACAATATTTATCAAAAATTTAATTTTGGCATTGATCTTGCAACACAGGGCATCAAACAGTTCTTTGTGGCTGTTGAAAGAGAAGAGTGGAAGTTTGATACATTATGTGATCTCTATGATACTCTAACAATCACCCAAGCGGTGATATTCTGCAATACAAAGAGAAAGGTGATTTTATCTTACGACCATTACCATAATTGGGATTAAATTTAAAAAGATTTCATTAACCTTCACAATAAAATTGGAAATTGTTTACCACTTACACCCACACTCTGTTGTAATCATTTTTTCTTGCATTCTTCATAGAAGTCTCAGCAGTTCCTGTAAAAAAAATTTACATTTTTTTGACTTTTGAATCTGCAATTTGTCCCAAATTCAGCTAAAATCCAATTTTTAGCATTTATTCCTTTTTCCCCCTTGTCAGTGGGTTAGCTGGAACTTGAATCAAGACTGTAGTGTTGCAATCCATATGTGTTAACTCCTAGCCTCTACTTAGTAAGAATAAAAAGGGGAAAAAATTTCCCTAATCTTTATGCCTGCCAATTGATGAAACTCTTTTCAACTAGGAATTTTTCTATTATCAGTGAATAAAACGCTTTTCTTTTTTTTAATGAATTTGTGTCAATATGAAATTGAAAGTTCCAGTTTTTTTTCACTCAAAGAGGGTATCCAAAGTTCCAGTTTAGCCAATTTGAGTCTATGTAACAAGTCATGGTCTTGTTGTTACAGGTGGACTGGTTAACCGAGAAGATGCGCAGCAACAATTTTACAGTGTCTTCAATGCATGGTGACATGCCTCAGAGGGAGCGAGATGCAATTATGGCAGAGTTCAGATCGGGAACCACTCGTGTGCTCATCACAACAGATGTTTGGGCACGTGGACTTGATGTTCAGCAGGCAAGTCTTTTTATACCAATATTGTTACTGAAACAAGCATCTCTCTCTCTCTCTCCCTCTCTCTCTTTTTCTCATGCACACATGCAGGCACACATACACGCAGGCACACACTCACTCAAATAACCATTTATGCGGAGTCATGGATGTTACCTCTCTAATCCATTTCTATCGAGGAATTTTCTCTCTCTCTCTCTCTTTCAGAACCACTTGTGGGTCGTAGTTGTTAACTCTATCAATTTCTGTGAAGGAAATTCTCTCTCTCTCTCTCTCTGATAGTCATTTCCAGGGAGTCATATAAAACACATTCTCTATCTCTCTCTCTCTCTCAAGTAAGCCATATCTATGGAGCCAAGGAAACTACATTTTTTATTGTTATGTTCTCCTTTTGTGCTTGTTCAGGTCTCATTGGTTATCAATTATGACCTCCCCAACAATCGAGAGCTTTATATTCATCGGATTGGTCGCTCAGGTCGTTTTGGTCGCAAGGTAATGCTTGAGTCACTTTTGCTACCGTTCTCCTTACAACTTTGGTCGAGGGAATATATACCATGTTGTTTGTAGAATTACCAAATGTGCTCTGCTTTCTTTTAAATTAGTATCTTTCCATGAATCAATTTATTTAGTCCAACTCATAAGATTTTCGTCGATGTTTGAGCTGTTTTGAATGTGTTGGATTGCAGGGTGTCGCAATAAATTTCGTTAGGAGTGATGATATCAGGATTCTAAGGGACATTGAGCAGTATTACAGTACGCAAATTGATGAAATGCCCATGAATGTTGCTGATCTTATCTAGTACTTTATATGATATTCTTGAAGGAGAAACAAATGTTTAAGAGTAGAGAATGCAATTTGAGAGAAAAGGTGATAGTGATTGAGGTTTGGGTTTCTGACGAGGTGATGTTAAGGGGGTTCATGTAATGGGCACATTGGGTTGAGAGAGTTTTTTAGTGTGTAGTTTGTGATTATGTTTTGGCTGTTTTTCAAGGTTTGGGACAGGCTAATTGGATCCTTGAAGTTTGGACAATTGCTTGTATTTTACCCAAACAAGAGGAAACATAGATTTCATTTTATGTATTTGTTTTTGTGCAGCATAGTTTTCTGTTTTTTTCTAATGGATTTCATCTGTTCTGTTTGGTACAGGCTGTAATGCATCCCCCCCCCCCCCTTCCTCTCTCTCTCTGTCTCTCTGTTATTATACGTTCTGAGAAAATATATTTTGAGATTTGTGCACAGTTAATGAGACGGAAAAGCTTTCTATGTTCCTTTACAACATAGAAGTTCTATCTTTTCTCTTATACAACCCTCTATTTTTTTAATGGAGGGTTAAGGTCGTTCCAATCACAATGTCATGTCTTTATATTATTATATTTTTAATTTTTTTTTATAAACTATTTTGACACCAAATTTTGGACGTTCATTCTTCTATTAAATTTGTATTAACGAAAAATGTAAAAAAATATTTTCAATAAAATAAAATAATCAAAATACCTTTAAAAGTTTTAAGGGGTATTTTGGTCATTATTTTTTATTAGAAAATTATTGTTAATATTTTTTTTGAAGTGCACCTTAATGAGAAGATGATACGTATCAAATTTCATATTCAGAAAAATTATATTAAAAAATTAAAAATAAAATATTTTGAGACGTCGGATATAAGATCAAACATTGAGTGTCTCTATTGATAAAAAATGGACGGTTGGATGGTTAGGGGAGGATACAACTTCTATGTTTATGGATAAAAAATGGACGGCTGGATGGTATGGGAAGGATACAACTTCTATGTTGTAGGGAGAACATATAAAGCTTTCCCTAAAGCGACATTTCTGGCTACTTGATTTTGGATTTAACGATTGATAATGATTGTGACTTCCCTCGTAAGAAAAGTAAATTGTCTCAATATATGTATTTATTGTAATTATATTGTGTAAATTTTCAAGCTATGCTAAGGGTGGCCTAGGGCTGATACAAAATGATCGGATCATACAGCCTAACCCATCATGTAGGCTTTGAAGTGTAGCCCGGATGCTACCAACCATATTAGGCCCTTGGTCTAAACTTTGAACCAAGTTAGGTTCACCCTACATGTTGGAGGGTTTAGTATTGAGGAAATGTGCAAGAAAGAAGACAAAGGGAGGTTTCATAATGGAAATTGTCTGCATAGAATATTAACAATTTAAGGCCGTTTATTTTATAAGGTTGCAACATTACTCGTAAAAGTAAGGTTCCAACAATCTACAACCTCTATTTTATTTTAATGGTGTAAATTTGATATTATCTTATAAGATTCATTATTTTTTTATATTATTTTAAAAGAAGTATTAAATCTACACTATCCAATTAATATAGGCAATTAGGTTGCAACTTTATACTGTAGAAGCGAGGTGTGCCTCACAAATCCAATGGTAAAGAGTGTTTCAAAAGTTGATAAACATTTCAATTGATCATCTCGACCTTGAAATGTATAAATATAGCAAAAAAAAGAAGAGAATTTTAAGTCCTAAAAATAATCCATGATGTAACAAACTATCTGGACTGTCTATTTTTAAAATTTTGAAGTATTTATAGATTTATTCGGCCTGCACCATTTTTGAAATTCTGAAATTAATAGTTAGGGTTGAATTTGTTTTTTCAAGCTATTTTAAGATTTCTACCAAATTTATATTTTCCAACAAAATTTAGAGGTACGTCTTACTTGTATAGTGTAAGGTGAGCACCTAATACAAACCTCACCCTTGCAGAGAGAGCATTTTCTATAAGGCCTAGGCTTTATGAAAACGAAGTAAAATCTCACCTCAAATCTTCGACCCCCAAGCATTTTGAGCATTGAAAATATCCATTATGGCTCTAAAATTTCTTTTTCCACACCAATTATGAAATGTGAAGCTAAAAAGTTGTTACATATCTTATGGATTTGTAAATTCATTTTTAAGGCAAAATGGACAGTCTAGATAACATGTTACAATATACACTACTTTTTAGGGTTTGAAATACTAATTTTTGTTATTACTATAATATTCAAGGCCAAGATGATGGATTTGAAGGTTTTTCGACACCAAAACTATAATTTTTTGGTAAGATAGTACTTATTTTGATGGGGTTGTGGAGGGAAAAAAATGTCCTATTTATATTTTTTAATTAAAATGGAAAGTTCTAATTATTTCAAACAATATAAATATTGGGGAGGTCAATTACAAAATGAGATCACGTTTGTCCAAACATCCTCTTGAATATTTTTTTTTTTTCAGATTACACGAACACCGAACCTATGGAGATTATTTCGGAAAACATGTCATGAGAAGAAAGAGGGGGTAACTTGTCCAGAGAAACTTGAAAAAAAGAAAACATGCTACGAAAGAATGCCACCTCTAATTTTAGACAATCGGGATCTAGGTCAAATATAGTCTATTTCTCAAAATTAAAAATGCCACGTAAATTTCTTAAGGATGATTTAGTAATTTTTGTTGTTCCCGGTGGTACTTCCCTGAAACTCCTTTAAATAATCACAAGCTTTTCATTGTATCAGAGGGCCGGATATCCGGGCCTTATCTATCACTGTCTTCTCCTGTGATGCCTAAAGTGGCGACCATGAAAAACCCTAAATTTCGTTCATTAGAGACCCTATTTTTATTCTGGGTCCTCCTTTTATTTGAATTTACTACAGGTCAAGTAAATCCAAAGCAAAATCATGGATTTCAATGGCAGGTTCTTACCAGGAGCAATTTCTCTTCTCAGATCCGAGCCCATCCTTATTTGTTGTTGTTAGTTACTGTTCCTTGTAAGTCCATATGTTTTTTATACATTTCATTGATTGTTCATATTGTTGTTTTCTAAATCTAAAAATGTTATGTGGTTTTTCATCATCATCATCAATCATTTTATCCTTTTCCCAATTAATTGGGGTCGGCTAGTGGTTTTTAATATTTGAAATTGCTGTTATATATGACATGTATTTATTTTTCCTGCAATTTTTTTATATCCTCTCCCCCTTTCTTTTTGGGGTATAAATAGGATGTAAATGAGGATTATCCAAGAATTTTTGCTGCAATTTGACTTAAAACCACAGTTATTGTATGCATGTGCTTTGCAGTTGTTACTTCTAATCCTTTTCTTCTTTTCGGCAAGAAAGTACGTTTTTTGAACCTTAACCCTTGGACTGAAATAAAGACATTCATAAGACGGTAGGTGGTTTAGATAGAATTGTGTATCATTACTTATTTTAATTATGGGAAATTATTCATAAAACGCTTGGAGATTTCAAATAACAATATATTTCCCTGTTGTAATTATGCTTTGTGCTTAGATGAGTCTAAAAATTTGAATTGCCAATATAGACCGACTGTCTGTTAATTTTACAGATGCAATGCTGCGTTTTCACATTGGGAGCTTGTCTGTAATTTTTACAGACGCAATGCTGTGTTTTCACATTGGGAACATTTCTTTCTTTATTTTTTAATTCATGAAGTCTAGCCACTTGGGAGGTTACAAAAAGGGATGTAATATTTGTAAACCAACCACCCCTTGAAAAAAAATGAAATAAAGAAAAAAGCTTCCTAATTCCTGAAGAATCATTCTAACTTTTCAAGATAGATAAAAATTTCACTCTATATGATCGTGATTTACAAAATACTGTGAACACGTATCCAACTCTTACATTCAAAAAAGACAAAAAAAAGAAAAAACTGTACCCAACTCTTATATACTCCTTTCAAAGACATCAATGGGTCTCTCTCTCTCTTTCTCTCACACACAGTTATTATTTTAAATATTTGATCCTGATCATATTGCCTGTTAAATACAGGGTCTGGTGAATCCCGATCCTTAATGAGAGAAGTAGTGGAGCTATCCAATCAACAAAACGACAATTTTGGCGGTCTAAGGCTAATGGTTGTATACAACAATACAGAAAAGATGCTTGCAGATGTTCTAGGTGCTTCCAAAGGAATTACGTTTTTCTGTTATCGTCACTCAGTGGCATACAAATATCGAGGGAGGTTACGGGCACAAAACATACTATCCTCTGTTCACCATCTTATGATGCTTCCATCTGAAGAGCTGCCTATGAAATCACTGAACACCGAGATGGAGTTGCAGAATTTTATACATTCCACTGATAAAGCTGTAATTCTCTTTGAATTTTGTGGTTGGTCACCCATTCTCTTAGCCAAAAGCCATGGAGAGGGAAATATGAGTACTCGACATGGAGATGATTCTTCAAAAAGTGGTGAGTTTTTCTGCATGTTTAGATTCTCCTATCAAGTATATAAAAAGTTTGGGTAGAGAACCATGACATTCTCCTTTGGTGGAACCCATTTAAGATGACCAAATAGAGAACTAGAAAGCTACTCATTTAATTTCGTGATCACAAATATCCCTTGGAAATACCAGAAATGGATGGGAAAGTTGTCTTTGCAAATCATTTGTGTTTAGTAATATGCATCGAATAAATAACATATAAGGAAATTGTAATATAACTCATGCAATTAATGGACCATCAGAACTCATAGTCGATTGGGGTATCATTGTCCATTAGGCCATTATTCTACAATGAAATGATTTTTCTTTTCTGAGAGTAATGATGGATGATGGCGGACTGCGGACAGAATTACCACCATTGGATTCATTTAGTGTTCTGCCATATCCGGCTCTATCTCCATTTCAGTCCATCGTTTTAGTGGATAGCAATGGCCACAATGGTAGTGGACTGTAGTTCTCCAATCGTAAGGAGCATACTTTCCCTAATGTACAATTATGTTGTTTCTTGTCTCTTTCAAATACTGACATGCATTAACTACCTCACAGACATTAACCAAGAAAATATCTTTCAACAAGATGATGACCCACTTGCATCTGACAGGAAGAAGAGCAAGAGACAACCAAGTACCTTCGAAGGTAACCACAGTCGGACTGATTTAGGACCAAGGATAGAAGGGAGTCTCTCAGGTAACTCAAATCCTGATTCCGAATTTCTTTTGGCTCAAAAACAGGGAATGACCATTGAGAAGCTAACCTGTGCTGTCGAGAAAGAACCAAATCCTCTCTCTTGGCTTGATGAATTCACCTGGGGAAATGAGAGTTCCCCTGCAATATCTGATGAATATGAGCGAGCTAGCAAATCTTGTACTCCTGATGAGTTTGAGAGGTACAAGTCCTTCTTAACAAAGTTCACAAAGGCCTTAAGGGAGTATATCCTACCACCAGAGAGGCAAAGATTTGGCCTTATAACAAGGAGATCTCTAATTTCTTCCTTGGGGGTTGAAAATCCAGGCTCATGGGCACTCATGGTCCAATTTGTGGGATGTCCCAATTGCTCTGAAGTTTTTGTGGAAGGAAATGACTTTGAGAACGCCTTGGTAATGTGTTACCCCTTTGTCAAGGAGGTAGGTTTGCTTGTCTTGTTTATGGGCCGTCATTTTTGGTTATGAAGCATATTCAACTCAAATTTGTCCTTTTTCTCCATCTGGGATTAAAGGAAGGGGTGTTAAGCTAATCATGCACTTAAATAGTCAGTAAAGTTGGATAAGTTATCAAAAAAAAAAAAGTCAGTAAAGTTGGATACAATCTCAACTGTTGTCCAGCATCCTTGTTAAGGTTCTGAACAATTTTTATTTGATCTGAATGCTGGCTGACGTGTTCTGCGAAGGCTGTTTAGTTTTCTTTGGCTAATATAATTTACTTTTTTCTTTTGAAGTGGATTTGTGTCCTAGGAATAACTGCTGGATAAAATGGACATTGATGGAGAAATAGTAGGACCCACCATTAGGGTCATGTTCTGTTAGGGTTGATCCCACTCTCTCTTCATCACTGGCCATTTTATCTGACATGATAGTCGTAATGTACTGTGGCTTTCCATAGTCAATTGCAATGGTATACTTTCTTGTGTCCGAGCTGCTCAGTGATTTTTGATGCTTCTTGATTTAAATATCTTTGTGTTCCCGTAGCTAGAAGGTGAGGCATACAATACCAAGTCCAAATTACCCGCAAAAGAACCTTCGATGATTCTCTTTTTGGACAGATCATCAGAATCATCAGAGATCAGAGAAAAGAGTGAAGCAGCTCTTAGCGAATTCAAACAGCTAGCACTGCATACACAACTTCTGGGTCGGATCATAATGGGAAGAAGCGCCTCTAAAAAACGCTATATTGGAAAGAGTGAACATGTTTCGGATCCTTTGAGCCCTTTCCTTATGCAATTGGTAGAAGAACTGGGGATGAGTAAATTCAAAGAGAGAATGACCGTAAAAATTGTTGGTGGAGTTGGAAATATTGAGTTAGATAACATTGCCACAGTTGGAAGTGGCACTTCTGCACATGACATTTTGGCCAACCTACTCCAGCATAAGGGTCCTCCAGCGAAGCAAAAGGTTGGGAAAATAAGCTTGCTGGCAAAGGAAGCCGGCTTTCAACTTTTATCCAATGATATTGAAATAAAACTATCTGATGTCTTAGAACCTGAAATCAGTGAAGAAATGGTGCATGGGGAGACAACTCAAGTCATTAGCAAGGATGACACTTTTAGGGGTGACCAACAAGGCAATACAGTGCATTATAGAGACTCAGATTTCAGTTCTACAGGATCTTCACAGAAGTCCATTAAAGAAGAGCCCAATGCTTGTAATAACGTCGAATCAGAGAATGGGGCATGTCCAAGTTCTACTGGAGAAGACTTTGGGCTTGTGGAAAGCTCACCTGAAATATTGATGGCCAAAGATGAGGAAGGGCAAGTGGGTGATAATGTAGAGGAGGAAAGTCCAGAGGATTTAGAACAGTTGGGGGAAAATAAAGACCATTATCGTTCTTTTGAAGGATCATTTTTCTTTTCTGATGGTGGATATCAATTGCTTAGAGCTTTCACTGGTGATTCGATTATTCCATCTGTGGTAATTTTGGACCCAATCAGGCAGCAACATTATGTATTCCCTAGAGAAAATGTTGTAGAGTTTTCTTCTCTCTCCCACTTTCTTGATGCATTCACAAATGGAAGTTTTCCTCCATATCAGCGCTCTCAATCACAACCCCCAAATCTAAGAGAGACCCCATGGCCACCATTTGTGAATCAGGATTTCCATGAAGCTGATGCCATTCCTAGGGTCACCACCGATACATTTTCAGGCCTAGTTCTAGGATTCAATCTCTGTGATGGTGTCTATGGGGCTTCATGCATGAATACTCAAAATCTTGGGCCTGCTTGGAGAAAAGATGTGTTGGTTCTCTTTAGCAATTCTTGGTGTGGATTTTGCCAGCGAATGGAATTAGTGGTTCGTGAGGTATATCGTGCTTTCAAGGGGTACATGAATGTGTTGCTGATTGATGCCAATATTGGAGAGGACATGATTTATGAAGGTATTAATTCTTATGGACAATTAAGTTGGTAACTATTTATCATTTTTAATATTTGTGAGTTTTCTTGAAATAGGTACGCATCTGCACGCAAAGTTTAATATTGATTCTCTAATTGTTATCTGATACTTACCTCAGTTGTTTGTTCTCTTTTTTGAACTTCGAGCAATATACATGGCAGGTTATTCAAAGGATGCCATGTTGAAAGACCTGCCTTCTGTGTATAGTATGGACTGTACATTGAATGACTGCAGCACACTTCTAAAAGCACTTGGTCAGGTAAACCATGTGAATAGATGACTTCTTCCTCAATTACTTAAAATTCCCCACCAGAGAGTTTGTAGTCTTCTTCTCTTTCTCTTTTCTTTTCTGCATTTGTTGCTTCAAAATAAATTTTGTATGCGTAATTTTTCTTTTGGAAGGGAAGGTTATATTGTCATTTCTGTTCTTTAGGGAATTTATCAAATCACGTCTAGGAGTCGAATTTGTTCTTTTTATTTAAATTCAAATAACCTGTCATTCTTCTGATCGAAATTTCAAATAGCTTATCAAAAGACACATTACCATGGGTCATAAATTGTTGGATGAGTGAAACATTAAATAGTTGGTCTCTCAAGAGTGATTTGATAAATTCCCCCATTTTTTATTTGTTGAGAAGACTACTGGTTTTTATATAAGTTCATTGCATCATGTGTTACTTTTCATTGCTAACACATTTCGGGTTTTTATGAAACTTGACAGAGGGACCTTTATCCATCTTTGATTCTATTTCCAGCTGAGAAAAAGGATGCCATTTATTATGAAGGAGACATGTCTGTAGCTAATGTTATTGATTTTATAGCAGCTCATGGGAGCATCTCTGGGCATCTTTTAGCAAAAAAAGGTACTCCCATAAACCCCCTGGATCCTCCTCAGTTCTTGTGATAGTTTTACTGAAAAAGTACGTTGTTTTGTCATGCCATTCTGTATAAAAGAATAATGAATTGTGGAAAATCAATAGTTCACTGAGGCAACCCTATGCACGAAATGATGGATGTGGTGGAAAGTGCGACTAACCAGTGTTTTCAAACTCGATGAGTCTGACTCGGACTCGCCTAAAGCACTTGGGCTCGGCACCTTCAGGTTGACCATTTAAACGGAATTTGTTTTGCCCCAAATTTTGGGGATGGTCTTGAAAATTCTTGATGAACAATGTCAAAAAAGAAATTATTGATGTAGAACATATCTAATCCTATATCTAACAATGCACCAAAACAATTCGTTAACATCAACCCCGTTTTCTCTCTTCATCAGAAAAATCATTATCTCCAATTAGTTGGGAAAACGCTCTAATACTTACTCTTTTTTTTTTTGGGAAAAGGCTCTAATGATGATGATGATGATAATCAGAAAAATCATTCTTTGGGGGTTTTCTTTGAATCCTTTTTAATAGGTCCTTGGTAGAGTCAAGAGGACGTGTGTGCAATAATTGGGGTTAAACAAATACCCATAACATCATTTTATTATGTAGACGTTCTGCAAAACTTGGGGTTAAACAAACATCCCTAGTGGCTATCGTAAGCTTGCAGTCCCACCCCTTTGTATATGCATATATGCACACTCCCTTTCTCCAATTGTTTCCTTGACCTTTGCAAGTGTTATAATGGAGCTTTGTTTATTGATTCTTTGGCATCCATCACATCAGGCATTCTTTGGAGTGAATCGCACAGAGAGGGCAGAACAAGGACCCCACGAGGCAATTTCACCTCTACCCCAATCCACAACCGAAATTCTGCGACAAGTACCCCACAGCATGAGGTTGTACTTAACACTACGCGGTTAAGAGAGGATGAACCAGATGCTAATTCTGATATACCACAAAATTCATGGGACAATGATCAACATATAGAATTTGGTTCAATTCTAGTTGCCACTGAGAAGCTTCTCAATGCACCTCCATTTGAGAGCTCTATGATTTTGATTGTGAAGGCAGACCAAACAGAGGGTTTTCAAGGTCTTATAGTTAATAAGCATATTAAATGGGAATTCCTTCCTGAATTAGATGATGGATTCAGATCATTAAAAAGCGCTCCTTTGTCTTTTGGTGGTCCACTTATAGTTCAAGGTTTGCCTCTTATGAGCTTGGCTCGTTATGGTAGTCATGAGGGCTATGCAGAAATCCTTCCAGGTTTTTATTTTGGTGGGCAATGGGCTACCAGTAATATTATTCAGCAGATACATTCTGGAAATCAAACTGTTGAAGACTTCTGGTTCTTCTTGGGTTATGCAAGTTGGGGATGGCAACAGCTTTTTAATGAGATAGCAGAAGGTTCTTGGCGGGTCGAGAGTCATGCAACAGCATCATTGGAGTGGCCTGAAGTTTGAGTAGGTTCCATTTAATTTTGAGAGAGAGAGAGAGAGAGAGAGAGAGCATTTTGGGGTATATACAACTTCCAGGAAAATTTTGGCCATGAGAGAGCGTTTTGGGGAGACAACTTCCAGATAAATTTTGGTTATGAGAGAAAGCAATATAGGTATAAGAATCTGAAAAGGAGCATTTTGTGTGTTAGTGTGCATGTGTTTTGGAGCATTTTGTGTGTTAGTGTGCATGTGTTTTGAGAGAGAGAGAGAGAGAGAGAGAGAGAGAGAGAGAGCAATTTTGGTGGAAAATTTTATGCCTGCTCCCTGATCCCATATAGACTTGATTGTATTTCTGAAGGTCTCAGGGGTTCCAAAGTTCTCGTAATCTAATTCTTTATCAGAAGTGTAAGGCTTATTCCCATCAAGGTCGGCAGCAGGCCTGATTGTTAGTGGAAACTAAAAGAGGTGAGAATGTCAATTTGGATTGGCATTTATTGTATGATGTACTAAAGAAATAGCCCCTATTTTTTACGATTACCGCATGCCTATTGTTCATTCTTGTTATTTATAACATCATTCAGATAATTATTTCCTTTTTAGGCATTCTTGTAATGATTACTGTCTAAGAATCGTTATAGCTGACACTGCCTCCCTGGCTAAACATGATTTGTGTCTTCAGTTTGATCTAAAAACAACATCTCTATTACCATACAGCCTCTCTCTCTCTCTCTCTCTCTGTTTTATATATGTGAGTTCCAAATACTGCAAATTGACTTGTCCCCATTTGCAAGTCAAATAATAGTCTGCAAGTCTGCAGACTATACTTATCCAAAAGAAAAAAAAGTCTGCAGACTATGATTTTTTAAGAGACATCTGCAATTCCACGGGTTTCTTAAATAGCCAGTTTAATGATTGTCGTATTTTCAAATACGTTGCAAGGACATATAAATGCCAAACTAATGCTCTGGACTTGTGACCTTAGCTTTTCATAGTAGCCCTTGAATTTGTGAAGTTACCTTGTGATCTTGAAATTAACACATGTATTCCTACTATTTTTGAGTGGATTCCTATGACCAAAATACCCTTTCGCTATCCAGAAGTAACGCAAACACACCTTTTCTTTAAGCAATCACAGTTGCACTCTTCTCTATGTCATACAGAGTTTGTTTAACACGTACACAAGGGGAAACATTTTTTCGTCCCTTTTCTTTTTACACTCAATCTGCTCACTTTTAAGCTGTCACCTTAATCTGCAGAAGTTTGGACCACCTTCTGTCTGTATAACCTTCCTTTGGATCACCACCTGCGAACAAGAATGGGAATACATTAGAAAAGAGACTTATCGGAACTTACATCATTCCAATCACGAGCCACAAGTCTTTGTGCATAATTTTGCAGCTCTTTATTTTCTGTAGTTGCTTCACGTTTTCTTCAAGGAGTATGGCAATACCACCTTCGCCACTCTCTCTCTCTCTCTCTCTAACCATCTTTGGAATCTCTGAGATCCTAGCTAAAGTAATAATTTGAAGATTGAAAATAATGATTATAGTGCCCATTTTGAAGTAAACATAGAACACTGAAAGGATGAATACAATTATTTGTTGTTAGACACAAATTATTTATGAGATGGCTGGAATGTCCTTTCGTGTTTGTTTTCTTCTTTAGTAATGGTATTCATCATTTTTATCATTCTACGTGGTGTAGTGCCATGGATTGTTCTTGACCACAGTTCACTGCTTTTGCTTGATTTTTAAGTGAGCAGTGAATCTCCAAATACATACATTCCCATCTCTGCGGTGATCTCTCGCATGACTCTGAGCATACTCCCTGTAACATGAAGCTGATGAGATTACGACCATTTCTTATCTGAGTGACAAAACATAAAAAAGGAATACAAAACCATTCATAACGACTTTACCGAGGTGCTAAGCCTAATTGTATCTTTCACTAGTGAATCAAGATCCGCATCTGGTGATCTGGGGTTGATGTAGATGACCTGTAGGGCCATTGAATTTAGCATGCTAGAACTAGAGTTTAAATTCCCAAGTAAGGAGGACAAATGAGAGAGAGAGAGCATACTGATGGGTCGTCGCCACCAATTTCAGGTAGCTGAAGAGAGTGGTTCTCCTTGCTTGAAGGTAGAACCCAGACATTAAAGTGGGTATCTATCTGAAACACAGAGCACAAATGATCACATCCAGTAATTGTTAACAAACAAAATATGGGGTATGTGGTGTTGATTCTCCTCGACTTCACTTTGTCATGGGGAGATATACGATGTGGAGCTGGTGTATGGTATGTGGTACACCATGGGCTGCATCCACCATCCATTGCCAATGATTGATAGTGGAGAGTAACCTTAGTTCCCAATGTTGATTAATTTCCCATGCACAGTTGATCACCTGCATAGTTGATCACTGCCATCCGTGGAGAACAAATGATGGATGCCCCATGGTGCCCCCCATAGACCATTGCACACTGATGTATGGTATGGCTTTCCTAATTGATCTTGTAACTGGTGAATAATCATTATGAAATCCCTGATTTTTTTGGAGTAACTATTGCAATACCCCTGATTAATAATGAAATGACCGAAGAAAATCTTTATGTATTTTGTTGTTTCAGTATTTATGCAGTGATATGTTCGAAATGTAATTGAATTGGTGTCTGTAAAAATCACATATTCCATTTGTCATAAAACTGATATTTTCATAAGGCTTAATGATAATTTCTTTTTATAAAGTTAGTGACAAGGTGACAAGAAGAAGTGGGCTGTGTAGCAGTAAGAAGGTAGAAGTACCTCTTTACAGTATGGTGATAAGCAATTGCTGCACTTTCTGGTGAAACAGGTGGTTATCCTTCCATCAATGGAGTAACCAAAGCCAACATGCTGGAAAAGCGGTCATCAGATATCAGTTGTCAGATAGTCTGTTAAGGACTGCTCCTGCATTTTACTACTCAATACTACCCACATATTTTAATGTGGCTCAATGCTGAGAGAGAGAGAGAGAGAGAGAGAGAGAGAGAGAGAGAGAGCAACAAACCAAGATTTGTTTAGTGAATTGTATTTTGCTTTCATCATGTTGTAAGATGTTGTTCACTTCGTTATGAGAAAAACTACTACTTTTGAAATGCTTGGGGTTGTGAAATGTGTGCAATAACATGGGTTGATTTGATTCCTTCGCTTTATATCAGTTCTTTCTCTTGTTCTTTTTTGTGGAATTTCCATGGAGATACTTATAAACTGACCTTTTGAATAGACAAACTAACCATAACTTCTGCTCCTTTCTCCCCTTCTTCGGCTAAATCGGCCAACTCCAGTTCCTCAAGTGAGAAAATATAATGGCATGTCCATTGGCCATGCCATCTCCCATCGGCTGTTGAAATACTTATAAGATTGTGAGCGGGCCTGGAACTTTTTCTCAAAATTTTCTTCATATTCTTCTGAGAGAGAGAGAGAGAGAGAGAGAGAGAGAGAGAGAGAGAGATATTAGTGTATGCTGTGTAATAGACACAAGTCTGAAATATTCATTTTTTTGAGTAGCAGTTTGAAATATTCATGTACTATCTATTTCCTGTGAACCATGTGTGTGCTTGTGTGTGTGTGTGAGAGAGAGAGAGAGAGAGAGATTAGTGCATGCTGTGTAATACCCTCAAGTTTGAAACGTTCGTTTTTTTGAGTAGCCGTTTGAAATATTCTTGTATTATATATTTCCTGAAAACTATGAGTGAGAGAGAGAGAGAGAGTTTTCAATATACCAAGTTCACTTCTGTTTAGAATTTGTTCAAAGAGTTCTTACACTTTTGTTCTTTCTGATGAAATTGTCACTGTTGGACCATGCTTCACCATCTGATATTTCATCCTTGTATGAATAAGCCAATCTGGAGCTCCTTGCTATTGTTAACTGCTTCTTGAATTGGGTGTGAGAAATGGCCTTGAATTTCTTAATTGGTGACTGAACTGTGTAAACCAGTTTAGACGTGTACAGAAGAGACTCTGTCATTTCTACCGTCTTTGGAGAAAAGCTTACTTCCTCTGAAGTCTGAACCATATCCTCGAGACTACTATCAGCGTTATATGTGGCTGTGGTTTCTATGACCAAAAGGTCACAATCTTTACTTCCAATGACCTAAGCATCCTAGTTTCCATTGAAACGCTCATGATATATGTTTGCATACCATGACCATTGTGCCCAAATGATGAGGATAATGTTCATGAGGACGTTATATGTGGTTCTTTTCTAATTAGTTGGGGTTAGCGACATGAATCCTGATTTGCCATTGGGTTATATGTAAAAAAATAATATTTTGGGTTGGGATTTGATAAGGTTGGAAAATAATAGAACTTGTATAGAAAGCTATAAAATGAATCCAATATTGTTTGAAATTGGAGCGGTTTGTCAAATTTTTGTTTAAAAATGGAAACAAAATATTCCCCAAAACCCAAGTGAATTCCAAGCCGAGAAACCCAACAATTGCTTGAGCCTCCGGAATTTTCATGTTATTTTAATTTTCTTAATATAAATTAACCGGTTCGACTCAGGGTTGCCCTAGTTGGATGGGGGCTGGGAATTGGTTGGGTTCGTGCTTGGGTCATAGTGAGTTTGAACTTGAGGCGGCTTTTTTTTAAAAAAAATGGAGCTAAATATTTGACAAAGTGATTGCCTCCCATTTCTTTTGAGTGATCATGGAACTGAATATGAAAAAGCTCCCAAATCTATTTACACGAAAGATTTTTTTTTACGTAAAAATATTTCAAAAGTATTTGCAAACGTACCAAACGAGCTTTAATATATTAATCACAGCCATAAATGTGCAACACATTTTGTGTCACTTCATTTCTAGATCTATTTATTTGTAAACAGTGAAAAACGCGATTGAGAATACAAAAAGTAAGGGGATAAAAAACATTGTGTTCTGTAATTGAGATCCTGAATCCACTTAGTGGAGCAATAACTTCAATGGTGCTGTTGATGAAGAACAAAATTAAGTCCCTTTCTTACATCATATTTTCACGAACTATCATTGGCACGTTAAGTTTGGGCATGTAATTCTTTTTTGTTTAAGTCAATCTCTTAATCGGACACTTGAAAGTGCTAGATCCATTTTTGAGTTCAATTATATGTTTTTTCTTCTTCTAGAAGAAGTTTCAACGCTTAAAGCGCTGAATTAACTTTTGGGTTCTTTTGTTTGCTATATGCTTTAAGTCTTGAATAGGATTTTCATTAATCGATTTTTAAGTTTTCTATTTTGCCCGGAGTCGATTCCACACTTAAAGTACCAAACTCAATTTTTTTTTTTTTTTTGAAATATCGTTTTGACACCTCAAGTGCCAGAGTGTAAAATCTATACCGAGCAAATCGGCCTGGCAGCCTGGCCTGGCCCTGAAAAACTAAAGCCAAGGCCATAAAATGTGGCCCGAAGGCCGGGCAAGCATGGCCCAAGGGTAAGCTGGGCTAGACTTGGGCTAAGGTTAGCTCGGTTCGATCCTCCCCGGCTCTTTTTTTTCTTATATTTTTTTCCCTATTTTATTTGCCTCGACTCGGTGTCAAGGCTTAGGGCAGAGCTTGAGCCAGGGGCTTTTTTTTGTTACTGAACCAAAAAGACATAGTCGGAGCTTGAAGTGCCGAACATGAAGTATTTCGAGAAAAATAAAATCAAACATGAAAAATAGAACCTCAACGTAAACCATGAAGATTCCAAACTGTCTTTTATTTCTAAAAAGTAAAAACCATATAAAATATTGATCCGAGTCCTTCATTAAACTTAAAGTAGTCATTTGCAGAAAAGATTGGGGTACTTTAATCATTTTCTCTTACTATAAGTTTTGTGAGACAAATGGGCATTTTTCTTTCCCTTTTTTAACCGCCATGGAGAGGGCGAAGAGGGTTGCAGAGCCCTAATTTCACATTCCATCTTTCCTCTTCTTCGTTTCTCCATTTATCTATCAATATTTGTTTTTCTGAATAATCGCTTCTTGGTTCATCGTATTTTTCGAGTCATTTGATTGTGGTTGCAGATCTGCAAAACCCTAACTTTTCCAAGGCTTTGGATTTGGAGCTTGCAAATACTCTGGATATTGGTGAGTTAATTTGGGTTTTATGTTATTTTATAGTTCAGTTTTGTTCTCCCTGTCATTTTTTGCTTAAAACCCTAAATTTTCTTGGTGTATTGCAGTTCACGATGCTTTCAGCTATTTGGAAATCTTAGTTTTCTTCTTATTTTCTCATTTGATGGTTACCTCGAGATATCTGGTCTGAATCCCTATTTTTTTATGTTTTTTTTAAAATTGTTATAACCTATTATATTGCATTGCTTTATCAGATTTGAATAAACCGTGATTCTAGTTATTCTTATCATTTATATCAGTTGTTTGCGATGTAGTATTCTGTATAATTTCCTCAATTTTTCTCATTTCTATCATATAAAAAACTCTAGTTCCCATCCTTTTGTGATAACTTTGTTGTTTATCAGCAATAATTTGGAATTACTGTATTGGAATTGTAGAAACCCAAGTTTTATTATCGCCCTTATTTCTATCACTCGTGTGAGAAGTATTAGGGTATTAGGTCTGTAGTTCTTGCTTCTCCTACTCCGTGAGATTTTATTTTATATTGGATGACACCACATTTGAATTTTGAAACAATGTTCCCATTTATCATCGTGTGAGAAGTACTGCAGTTATTGCTTATCCAACTCCACAAATTTTTTTTCTTTTTTCACCCTATTCTCCAAAATATGTTTTGATACTCATACGGAACTTTTTCTTTTTGCAGAAATTTAATTACTGGTAAGGTCATTCACGTGGATTGTTCTATCTGGTGGCAAAAGGAAACTTTCTTTCGTTTTTAGGGTTTACTTCCTAGGGTTTCAGAGATGCCTGGCCTGGCTGAGATATTAACTCTCCCTGCACCTCCTAGTGATGGAAACCTCGGGCCTCTCCCTCCATCCCAACTCACTGAAGAAACCCCAAAAGACAAAGGTTCTCAACAAGAGCAACAGACCTCCACAACTTCCCCTTCCCCTCCTGTGTCAGTCCCAACACACACCAAAACAATAGGGATCATCCACCCACCACCAGATATTCGAAACATTGTTGACAAAACTGCACAATTTGTTGCCCGAAATGGGCCTGAATTCGAGAAGAGAATTCTCGCTAACGAAAAGAACAATGCCAAATTCAATTTCTTGAACCCATCCGATCCCTACCATGCCTATTATCAACATAGAGTATCTGAGTTTCGAACCCAACTACAATCTTCTACTCAGGCTGCTCCAATTCAAGCTGGGCCCATCCCAGATGCCCAAAATGATGCTAGTGCCCCTGCCTCTGTCCCAGCTCTGGAAACCAATGAAGCGGCCAAACCTGAGTCTCAGTTTAAGCCTATTCGGAAGGTTCTAGAACCCCCCGAAGCTGAGCAATACACAGTCAGGCTTCCTGAAGGTATAACAGGAGAGGAATTGGATATTATTAAGCTTACTGCTCAATATGTTGCGAGGAATGGGAAGTCGTTTTTGCAAGGCTTAACGAGTCGTGAAATCAACAACCCCCAATTTCACTTTATCAAGCCGACACATAGCATGTTCACTTTCTTTACCACCCTTGCCGATGCTTACTCGAAGGTGTTGATGCCCCCAAAAGGGTTGACGGAGAAGCTTAGGAAGAACGCAGCTGATATGACCACTGTTTTGGAGAGGTGCTTGCATAGGCTTGAGTGGGAGAAGTCTCAAGAGCAGGCTCGACAAAAGGCAGAGGATGAGATTGAACAGGAGAGGTTACAAATGGCAATGATAGATTGGCATGACTTTGTGGTTGTGGAGACTATTGAGTTTGCAGATGATGAGGATGAGGAGTTGCCTCAACCCATGACATTGGAGGAGGTTATAAGGAGAAGCAAGGCCTCTGCTTTGGAGGAAATGGAAGAGGTGGTGGAGCCTGGTAAAGAAGTGGAGATGGAGATGGATGAAGAGGAAGTGGAGCTTGTTGAAGAGAGCATGAGAACTGCAAGTCTCGAGGACAATGCTGATGATGGGAAGAAAGATGAAAACACCCATGCTAAACCTGCCGAGGAATCAGAGCCACCCATGAGAATTGTGAAGAATTGGAAGAGGCCGGAAGAGAGGCTTCCTGCTGAGAGGGACCCAACAAAGTTTGTTGTCTCGCCAATAACTGGAGAGCTCATTCCTATCAACGAGATGGCCGAGCATATTCGCATCTCTCTTATAGATCCCAAGTATAAGGAGCAAAAGGAAAGGATGATGGCTAAAATTAGAGAGACCACCTTGGCTCAAGATGACGAAATCTCGAGAAACATTGTTGGGCTCGCTAGAACCCGCCCCGATATCTTCGGAACCACTGAGGAAGAGGTCTCAAATGCTGTGAAGGCTGAGATTGAGAAGAAGAAGGAAGACCAACCGAAACAAGTCATTTGGGATGGGCACACAGGAAGCATTGGAAGAACTGCAAACCAAGCCATGTCCCAAAACCTCATTGGCGAGGAACAACCTGATCAAAATGGTAATGATGGTCGGGTCCTTCCAGGTCCTGGCCCTCTTCCTAAACCAGGCATGCCCTCTATTAGGCCCCTTCCTCCACCACCAGGACTTGCTCTTAACATTCCTCGACCACCTCCAAATGTTCAGTTCTCAACACCGGGTAGCTCAGGGCTTATTATGCCATCCTCTGGTCCTAGACCACCTGTAATTCCTATTTTACCCTCTGTGAGGCCAGCCATGTCTATGCCTTCGATGCAACAGCCTATGATGATGGGTAGGCCACAACCGCCTCCTCCACCTTCAGGTTCGATGGGTATGCCCAATTTCACAATTCCGCCCCCACCAGGGGCTCAGTTTACGCCTCTGGGGATGCCGAGGCCTTTTATGCCCATGCAAATGCCTCCTCAAAGTATGCAAATGATGCCACCACCGCCTTTGCCACAAGGGATTCCACCGCCGCCCCCACCTGAGGAGGCACCTCCTCCGTTGCCAGATGAGCCGGAGCCGAAGAGACAGAAGGTGGATGATGCGGCTTTGGTACCCGAGGACCAGTTCTTGGCTCAACATCCGGTATGTTGCTTTTTACGTTCTTGGCAATCACTCTTTGTTTTGTTATGTTTATTTTTCTTTGTTGCTTGTGTTTGGATGATCCCTTCTCTTTGTTCTTCTTTAAGGTTCTTGGAGTAATTAGTGATATGAAATTTAGCTGTTTGCGGTTTCTAGGCATACGATTCAGAGTGCTTGCACCAGATGATACTCACTTGTGTATGTGCACCATATATCCTCATTTTGGGCAGTGGTCCATAAATGTGAGTCATGCATGCGTGATATGTGTGGTTAATTGTGCATGTGTGCTGTGTGCGCATGTGTGTCTCAAGGAGGGAGTCATTAAGAATAAATTGTGGAAGTTAGTGAAAATGGATGCATTTTTGGATGTTTTCTTGCATGTTAGTGCATTATGTGTATATTGTAAAATTAAGTAATATGTTTAATATTTTACCAAATGCATCATATAAATAATGCACATCAAATTAATTTTGGTATTCATTTAAGATTTGAAGTGATATGCATAATTTCAATTCCCAATACTTATCGTGGATTGCTGACTCTAAGGCTTATGTTCAGGGTCCAATCACTAAGGTGTGTTAATCAGTGACTTCATTGAGTCAACTTGTTAGTTCTTAGTTATGCATGATAAAATTGGTTTGATGAGCTGAGATTGTATGGCAATTATTAATGATTAGCCTGATATAACTGATGAATTTACGGACAGTCCATCCAATTCTAATCCTTTTTTTTGTCTCTATTGACTGGTTATTTTTATGAATATTTTCTTACTATGGATATCCGTTGTTTTCATAGGGATCTACACGTATTGCTGTTTCTGTTCCTAATGCTGAAGAGGGAAATCTCAAAGGACAAGTATTGGAAATCATGGTGCAATCTTTATCAGAAACGATAGGGAATCTAAAAGAGAAGATTGCTGGAGAGATTCAACTTCCTGCGAACAAGCAAAAGCTGAGTGGTCGGACTGGTTTCCTCAAGGACAACATGACTCTTGCATATTACAATATTGGTCCAGGAGAAACTCTTACCCTTGCTTTGAGGGAACGTGGTGGCCGAAAGAGATGAGAAATATCTTTCCCCTTCAGGCAAGAGAAGGTTATATCCCAAGTAGCATCGCGAATTAGGCCTTCTCTAAATCATAGAAACAAAATCATGGGAACGACCTGTGTTTTTACATATTTTAGATGTCTAATAACCTGTATCTTTTATATTTTGGTTTTCTTTCATTTGTGAGGCATCTGATACTTTGATATGTTGCTGCAGATTAAAGTTCTTCATACTTTGGATAGGACTGATTATGTCTTCCGTGATATTTTGATTAGGAAGTGTTCTTATATTTTTTTTTTTTCAAACTTAACCGGATGTGTAATATCTGCTGCAGATATGGCAGGCGCTCATTTTCCCTCATGGGGTTGCTTATTACACCTCAACTTTTAGTGGAACCAGCCAAAAGAGGGCTTGTTGTTTTTATGTTTTAATTTTTCTTTCGTTTACTAATGTTTTTGGGTTGCTAATAACTTGGATGCCATCTTGTCATTACCAAAGCATGTGATGATTCTGATGTCAGAAATCTTTTAGAGTAATTTCTCATATACATTATAATATGCAGGTTGCTGTTTCTGGTGAAGTTCTGGAAGGTCCAGGTTGCTTCAATTCTGATGAAATTTTGTTAGTGTGATCTATGTTATTGTGTCCTAATCGTTGTGACCCTTTAACAAGGAAATCTGATGTGACTTTGCAGTTCATTTTGGCAGCAAGTGCCAGGAATGAATGAGTTTAGAAGAAGTTCTCGTGGTGCTCCAAAGATGGCTGTTAATGTACAATGTTGGGATAAGTAAAGTACTATTTTATTTTCCTCTGGTTGCCCTTTTCTGAATGGTGAATGCCTCAACCGGTCGTTTTATCATACATTCTGTATGGGGCATAAAGAGGGCTACCACCTAACACGCATTGTGTTGGACAGCTGATGAATATTATTAATAGTTGCATTAAGTAGTGTGTAGGACATTGCCTTTGTACATGATTTATTCAGTTTGTGTCTATGCACGATTGGACCAATTTTTTAGCATAATTTATTGAATTATACAAGAACGTAGTTGTGGTATTGGTTCTCGAAAATCCAGCTGAATATTTGACTGAATTGTCATTGACTTGAGTCTAGCCTTAAGGTATTAATCTGGTTACAGATAAGCTAAATCCTATCCATTTCATTATTCATCACAGATTTTGAGTCATTTCACCTGTCTGTTGTACTGGGGATCATTTAATGCTAGACCGGTTGACATTTAATAGTAGTGCTTCAGTGTGATTAATGCATGGGAGAAAATATCATTGCGTTTCTATGTGGTTAATCTTCAAAAAAAATTATTTGCATGGTATCCAGTAAGAAGAGTCTTTTCTTTTGCTTACATTCTATGAAGGATGAACATATGCAACCAGTTGTTATAATGTTGAACACAAACAGCATGCTGCATTGAGTTTTAGTTGTTGACTTTTAGTTGCACTTTTCATTATGAAAATTGGAGAACTGCTCATCCATCTCAACATAATAGAATAAGGAGAACTTGTTTTGTGATTTGGTCGTTCGCATCATTCATGACCTTGATGAGTCTTTACTTAGGGTGATACCCATCCCTTTGGGCTCAGCTACCTTCTGTTATGGAGTCAATAACTAGGCGTGTTACTTGTTTTGTGATTTGGTCGCTTGCACACCATTCATGACATTGATAAGTCTTTATGTCGGGTGATACCCATCCCTTGGGGCTCAGAGCTACCATCACTGAATGAAAACCAAATTCCTCAAAAGTGATGGTGCCCTGCAATCAACATCAAAACTCCTAGGCCGGCCCTTGGGCATTCATGTTGGGACATCTCAACCCTTCTTGCACACCCTACTTTGGATTGCAAGATTGTGACTTCAAAGGATTGGGGGTCTGCTCCTTGTGTTGATGGTTATGCCCGATTTTAGAGGTCCATATATTTTCATTTGTTGCTATAGAAGCATGGGTGTCATTTTAGCTAATGATATTATAGAGTTGGACATGCTCAAGTTTTTTGTAGAGAGTCTAGAGATCCCCTTTTTCTGGTATATCAGATGCTTGATTACCTTCTTTGTGTTGCAATGAAGGCTCTCATATGAGCCAATAATCTTGTCAACATTTCAATGTTGTTGACCTTTTGGAGTACCTAGTTACACTTTGTTCTTTCAATTCTATTTAATAAGATTACTAAGAAAAATAGAATAGTTTTAATGGTGGTGTTCCAAGTGCATTGCATCAGTGTTGGATATCTTTCTAGGAAGGTATCTTGAGCTCTCAACAAAAGCTTGTGGGGTCGGTGGTTGTGTATGGAATGAAAATTATCAGTATGGAAGGGGTAATGTTCGTCCTACCTCAGCAAGGTTATTTTTATGAAAGCCTTCCACCCTAGTATTGTAGAGAGTCTAGAGATCCCCTTTTTCTGGTATGTCAGATGCTTGATTACCTTCTTTGTGTTGCAATGAAGGCTCTCATATGAGCCAATAATCTTGTCAACATTTCAATGTGTTGACCTTTTGGACTACCTAGTTACACTTTGTTCTTTCAATTCTATTTAATAAGATTACTAAGAAAAATAGAATAGTTTTAATGGTGGAGTTCCAAGTGCATTGCATCAGAGTTGGATATCTTTCTAGGAAGGTATCTTGAGCTCTCAACAAAAGCTTGTGGGGTCGGTGGTTGTGTATGGAATGAAAATTATCAGTATGGAAGGGGCAGTGTTTATCCTACCTTAGCAAGGTTATTTTAAAGAAATCCTTCCACCCTACTATCATTGTCCATCAATTGTTCCTATTCCTGATCCCCACATAGATACTATGAATAGGTATCATCCAGAAAATATAGGTGTTCATTAGCCAATTACTATATACAAGGTGACACAAAATAGGCGCCTCCTAAGGAAAATGTTATGAATAGGCTTGTGGTATGACCCTCTCCTCATAAAGTAGGACTCTCAGCCTCCTTGCAAATTGTTTTTCCACGTCTCATTTGCAGTTCATCCTGCATTCTACTTGTGTTTTATTTGTTTTTTTTGCTGGTTTAGTGAGGAAGGGCTCCCCTATCCGCGATAGGAATAGAACTCAAGATGTTACTTTGTGGCACTCCACCACCTTGACCACCTAGCCTCGAGCTGATTCTTGAGCAGATTGGTCTTTGATATAAGTCATATCTGCATGTCTTGATGCAGATGAAGATTATGTAACATACATACCACATATTACTATCTTAACTTTGTTTGTCCAAAAGAGAAACAAAGTACTTGCTCAAGTTTGTGGTTGAATGAATATGAAGGTATACCCCATTTTAGGCCATCATATATTTTAATCCGTATTCGCCCAATAATGTTTGTGTAGATGAATTCTAGTGGTTAGATGGCTCATTTACATTTTGTAAATCTTGGTAACATCTGATTTCTTTCTGATGATTATCTACTCCCAAATGTGGAGGGATGAAGTTCAATGTTTTTTTGTGTTTTGCGGATTAGGATTCGTGTAGTTGACTCCAATTAGTTGAGGAAAGAAACAGTACGACGGGGAGTATGTGGTATACAAGAGTAAAGTGGTCTAGCATATGAGAACCTACTCACAATGCATTAAACTTCAATTGCAAACTTGCTGCCATCACATTTTGTGAAAGTAATCATTGTCGACTGTGAAATGGAGTGTATGTATCTACATTGATGTGTGTTGTTAATCGGAACAATTTTTTTTTAATATGTTAACCATTAATTGGGGATAAAACCTTGGCAAACCACAAAAACGGTGCTTAAGGGGAGAAGTGAGTACAGAGATCAAAAACCTCTTTCAAAAAGTTACGAACAGGGGAAGCAACCTAAAGAAAGAGGCCCATCCAGAGTACATAAAGAACCAAAAGAAAGCAAGAAACAAAAAATCTAAGAAAAGAAAGCCATTTAGAATCCTTCCATTGCTGCTGCGTCTTTGGCGAGGGAATCAGCGACATGATTTCCTTCTCTCCAAGATTGCATCCATTCGATGAATATATTCCTGCAAAGGAAATGGATCCGGTTAACTGAGTGAGACAAATGCCAAGGTGGAGGAGAGGCAGGGTTTTGGGTCCAAAACAGAGTGTTCCTGGAGTCGCCCTCTATGGTAATAGAGGTTAAATTGAGGTTATGGATGAGAAGTTGAGCTTAAGCCTCTCCCGAGGGGGAGGTTTCCAGGGTGAAGACTTAAGAGGGGCGGGAACAGTTATGGCGAAGGACCGAAACCCAATCTTGGTGGAATGCTGAAGTCGGAATACCTTTGAAACGAGGGTGGTTAGAGACCCAGATGATCGTGGAAGAAAAGAGCTTGTTGAAGATTGTGAACCAAGGAGAGTGAACCCCTCTGAATATTTTGTTATTTTTTTCTATCCACAGTGCTCAAAGGACTGCAGGAACCGTGGTTTTCCACAATAAGATTGGCCAAGGGAAAGGCTACATAGAGGAAATAATAGAAGTGACTTCGGCCGGGAGAACCCATTCCACTTTGAAAAGCTGTAATATAGTAGCAACCCAAAGGTTGAAAGCATATGGGCAATGCAGAAAGAGGTGATCATTAGTTTCCTCTTCTACAAAACACAGAACACATCACTTTGAAAAGCTGTAATATAGTAGCACCCCAAAGGTTGAAAGCATACGGGCAATGCAGAAAGAGGTGATCATTAGTTTCCTCTTGTGCAAAACACAGAACACAACGATTAGGGAGCTGAAGGCCTCTTATCTATAACTGGTCGATAGTGAGAGCTCTCTGCGAGAGTGCCAGCCATATGGAGACCTTGAGTTTAGGGGGAACAAGCGTACCGGGCCTGAGCGACAGTTGAGATGGGAGCTAGGGGGAAGGTGGGAGGTAAAGTCAGAGCTTGGTAGAAAGAGGAAACTGAGAAATTAACTCCCGAGGAGGGGCTCCAAATTATGCAATCTTGTGCAGAAGGGGCCAAAAAACAGTCTTGCAGTTGAGCCGAGAGAGAGGCAAAAGTGCACAACTCTTGGTCGTTTTAAGTGTCTACTACAGATTGGGTTCCAAGAACGGGTTGCAAGCCTTCTAAGGATGTAAGTACTCCAAGGGCATCAAAATTTTCAGTTGGGGTTACCGATGTTCATAAGGTAATGGCCACAATTCATGGAGCACCCTCCCTTGGAGATGACCCCTGCATTTTGGGAGCATATCCACTTTGGATGTGCTCTTGAGTACATGGTGTCATGGATCGCAATCCACTAGCTTTTAACAAATTAGCTGACGTATGAAGAGGGTATACTTATTTTTATGAGTGATTGTGACATTCTTGTATCGTATCTATGATTTTACAGCATATGATCTTATTTGAAAGAGAAGGAATATTGTATTAGTATAATTTGGGGCACTTTGTTCGGCCATCAACCGTTTGTACCGAATAATAGAGTGAAATGAGCAACTATTATGCTGCTGTGGCTTATATAGATAGCAGGTATGAGCGACCCGAGCAGCACGAAAAACTGTATTGAATATTCATTTGCCATGAAAGAGAGGGCCTGCACTATAAATAAGGTTGAAAGTCGTTCATGTGTATCCTACTTGATACGTAAATTACCTCAAAAGTGGAATATGTCGAGGGTAAAACTTGAATTTTTAAAAGATCTCTCTTACCAAACATAGCTTCTAGATTACGAATAAAGCAACCGGTATTGGGTTAAATTGATTTTTTAAAAGGAATCACTGACCAATTAAGCAGGCATTAGTTCTGGTTCGGATGAGATTTGTATAAGAATAAGTTGTCGAACTTTATATTATTAAAGTAAGGCATGCTTGAAAACTACGTCGAAAGATGCTGATTCGATGTTAGAAAGGCTTATTAGGGCATGAAATTTTTTTCACCCCTAATTATGGAGTTTAAAAACTTCAAAAATGATGAAGATTGAGAGATCTACCATCTGGATGTACTATTTAGTGATTAAACTTTTTTTTTTTTTCCCCTCTATATACATACATTTTGAGATTGAGATGGTCAATTTGATGATTTTTAAGCATCGGAACAACCTTTTATGGTGCATTTTTGAGGTGTCTCTTATTTGAATAATATAAGGTTGACATTTTATATAAACTTTTCCCTGCTTGATATAGCTTGCAGTGAAGCCTCACATTAAAAAAATAATTCCGCATCTTAAAACCCAAACCGAAATTGTAGTTTTAGTGCCCAAAAACCCTATGATGGCTTGAGACGATTTATTTTTACGACAAGGTGGTCCGATTTGATAGGGTTGAGAGCATGTCTAAGTATTTCAATTTTAAGTTTTTTTTGTATATATACTGGATTGAGATGAAATTTGGGTGTCTATTTCTTTCAACCTCATGCACTTGTAACAAATTTACAAGAGTTAGTGAAAATTAAAACGACTCAAAGGTTCCTGAAAATTGATGAGTATTTTGATTGCTTTATTTTGTTTGAAGTACTTTTTATATTTTTATAGATGTGTCCCAATGAAGTATAAGCCCTCCAAATTGGTCATGATCCGAGATTAAAAAAAGAAGAGCATATGTCCTGCATTTTTAAAATGGAAAATGATCCAAAATATTGGAAACCACGATTTCTATTTTTTATTTTTAAAATGGAAAATGATCCAAAATATTGGAAACCACGATTTCTATTTTTGATAATTATACTCTTCCATTGGAGGTTTTTTTTTTGGAAGTGTGGAAGATCACATATTTTCTGAGAAACATGGTTTTTTTTTTTATATATATGCGTGGAAGATTACATTTCTCATTTTTGAGAAACGTGAACTTCCGTTTCACTACATATTCCTGGTTTTCACTCCAGGAATAACTACAACGTTCCACATATTTTGAGATTTGGTAGTCAAGTTTCTGTTTGTGAAATGCCTCCTAAGTGTAGTTAATTCCATTTTCTAAATCGATGTAATGCTACTAGGAGTCTAATGTCGAGGTTGATTGTCTTGCAAAAGGAGCACACCAATCTTCACTTGTGATTACTTCCTTTCAGTGAAATTGTTTGTATCTTGTAACTTGTTTTTTTTAATGAAAATTATTTGGTAATGTTCATAAAAAAGTTAAAAAATAGAGGGTTACCATGGAAACACCTATTTGGAATTAATTTATAAGGATGCCATGACAATTTGCTAAAGGCGGTTGGGGTTCACTGCTTAAAAACTCGGACCGAGTGGTCAAACCGCCCGCCAACTTGTCCGAATTGAACTGCTTGGTGCAAGAAAAAAAAGCAAAAAACCAAGGAAAGAAAGAAAGAAAGAAAAAATGTATACAAAATAAAAGTGTTCAAATGTTTAAACCAGGTTTAGGAACTTCAAATGTTCCTAAAACCATCAGTTTTAAATCAATATACCGATTGCAGTTTGACTGAGGCATGATGATTCGAACAGGCGGTTGTTTTTAATACTGGTTCCACATGAATCTGTTCATTGTTATACCCATCTTGGGCTCTTGAATAAAGGCCCTAAGAAAAACCAAAGTTGTGGTCTTCAATCTATAGCTCTCTAGCTGTTGAGAAACTCATGGTTCAGAGCAGGGGACACTAGCAGTCGGTGTTTTAATACGTGGCCCAAATTAGGGACCAAATTTCTCTATTCTCAAAGCAATGGCTCACTCTTAAGAAAACTTTGGGAGTCATTTCCATGAATCAATAAAACCCCTGGCTGTGAACCTTCCTTTTGCCATATCAAAAGCTACTCGTCCTGTGTCTCTCTCTCTGAGAAGATGGGTTTGGGGAGGGAATTGAGGATGTTTGGGTCTCGCCACTCCAGCCCTTCCCACCATTCTCTCCCATGAACGCTAATTTTTTGTAGCCTTTGTGCAGTGCCAACAGCAAAGGGCAGTTTCTTTAACTCCAGACATTCACCTATCTCCAAATACTCGAGCGATGACCATTTCAATACCCTGTTGCATAAGGTCGTCAGCTTCGGAAGGCCACCAAAACGCAAGCATCTCAACTGTGGGAACACATCATCATCCCCTTCAACCACCTCCTCAATTATCATCTCCATTTCCTCGCAGTTCCAAACTTCCACAGTTTCCAGATTTTTTAGCAGCCTTGTCATGCCTTTTGGGAGGAGCACTTGTAATCTTTGACAACTCATTACATCTATTTTCAGTAGGTTACTAAAGCATCCTTGCGGTGGATTCCCAACAAAAAATCTCTCCAACCGCTGCAAGGACCTTAGTCCCAAGTTCTGTAGGTTAGCAAAGCATCTCCCAACACATGTCCTCTCCAACCCGGGTAGGTTTTCTAGCAACGACGCCTCTGAGCTCTGGAATTCGACCATTGCACCCTCCAATTCTGCACATTCTTCCATCCAAATGTCGTTTAGATTTTGTGCACCGCAGACTCCAAAAGGGAGCTTATTTAACTTTGGGCATCTATCAATAGTCAAGTGTTTGAGCGATGGCCAAATCAAGGCACGGTCACATATCGTGGTAAGTTTAGGTAGTTCCCATAGATAAACTTTATGGAGATTTGGGAAAGCATCTGCAGGCACTTGCTCACCTTCTTCTGCTATTATCTTCTCCAATTTGTCACAGTCCAAGACCTCTAAGTACTCCAAACGTTTGAGCAGCTGCGGCATGCCATTTGTGAAGAGCACCCGTAAACTTGGGCAGCATTCTATTTCCATTCTCTTTAGGCTAGCAAAGCATCCTTGCGGCAACTCCCCGGTGCATATTTTATTCAGCATAGGCAAGTAATGGAGGTTCAGCTTTTCCAACCTGTGGAATGCGCTTTCTCTAGCCTCCTCTATAACCACCACACTCTTCAATTCCCCACATGCTTTCACTCTAAGATGTTCAAGAAATTCTGAGCAACAAGTGGAAACATGTTTGAGATTCTTGCAATTCTCAAAAGACAGATATCTTGTGCTCCGGGATTCAGCAAGGGCGATTAAGCCATCATTTGTGTTGGTACAACGGATTAATCTCAAAGAGTGGATGCTCGTAGATAACCGCTCGAGCCAACTCCAAGAGCTCACGTCTTGAATGGTAATTTCAAGAGTGGTTAAGCGGGTCAAGCTCGTCAATTCTATCACATTCGCTCTAAGAGGGGTCTCATCAGTGTGCAATCTCAACCTGCTACCCTCCATTAACAACTCCTCCAGATTAAGTAAACCGGAGAATACCCCAGAAGGGATTCTCTCAAGGCTAGCTGTCCAATTTAGATTGAGGTGCCTTAGATTGACCAACTTCCCCAGACCTATAGGGAGCTCTTTGATCCGATCACAGCCTGATAGGTTCAGCAGTTGGAGTTTATTGAGCTCTCCAATTGTTGCAGGCAACTCTTTTAGGTTTCTGCAGAGTCTCAAATGAAGAACACGGAGGCTTGCTAATTGGGAACAAGGGAGGGATGTGATCTTGGTCTCGCTTAGATCAAACACGGAAAGAGCTTTCATGCATTCAGACAAGTTTGTCGGAATGGCATCTAGATATCGATTCTGGTTGAGGAGCAATGTAACAAGTTGTCGACATTGTGGCAACTCTGGGAGTTGTCGAAGATTGTTACACATCAGTGAAATTCTAGATGCTTCTTTCCATTCCTCAGCTGTGATTAACTCCTCCCTTAGACCAACCCGTGAGCGCACTATGTGCTTCGGACCGTGTCCGGACCCGGTAGAAGTGATCCATATTGCCAATTCCCGCATCACATCATGCACTTTCACAGAGTTTTCATAATCACCATTTTGTAGCATACATGCGATTTTTAGGCTTCCAACTAATGTATGCCCCTTATTTCGTGCGGCCCTAATATTACCTAGGCTATCTATGAATCCTTCTCCTATGCAGTAGCATGTTATTTGATCTTCACGTATAGAATGATCTTCGGGGAACAGAGCGCAATACAGGAACAATGATCTAGCATCTTCGTCATCTAGTCTGTCATAACTGAATTTCAAAGGAATGAATACATCTCGAATCATACCTTGGAGACGCGAGGCAGAATGCTCCAATTCACGTGCAGCATCCTCCCACTCCTGCACCGTGTGTCGATTCGCCATAGCCCGTGCCAGAGTAATGATTGCGAGGGGTAAACCATCGCATTTTTTGATGACAGTTTTTGCAATTGGTTCTATCAACGGATCAGCAATGCTCGGGCTTGTTTTTTTTTGGAAAAGATTCCATGCTTCCTCCTCAACAAGTTTTCTCACATGTATTTTTTGGTCAGCTTCCATACTGGTACACACATTCAGATTTCTTGTGGTCAAGAGAACCTTACACCCGCCCTCATTGTTTACTAAAGGAATCCCTAGGTCTCCAAGTACCAAAGGTTCCCAAACATCATCCAGAATTATCAGTGCCTGCTTCTTCCTCAAAATGCCCAACAAGGTGTCTCTCACCACCTCTATATTATCCTCTTGTAAAGTTTGGGGCAATTTACTTTGTAAACTGTGGCCCAATTTACTTACAATCATCTTCTGGATACTCAATGAAGTTAGATTCTCGGACACCTTAATCCAAATCACAGTATCGAAAAGCGATTGTGAAGACAACTGATTGTATACCTTTTTGGCAAGAGTCGTCTTCCCAATGCCTCCCATACCATACACTCCAACGACCTTGACCTCCTCATCGTTCATGCAGTCAAGAAGCTGTTGAAGGGTGGATAGAGTGGTGGGCTGGTCATCGATGGGGGGCACGCCTTCGAAGACCACCGCACTCTCAGGCGGTGGAGTGGTTGCCAACTTCTCAAAGGTTGCTTGGTACCTGTGATCGACCTCTATCCTGAGCTTCACCGCTCTCTTGCCGAGTCTATAGCGCGACCAACAATTCGCTCTTAGACAGCTCTTTCCTTGTTCATACTCTTCTTTTATAACTCGAGCTTTGGCTTCAATTCTACGGACTGCTTCCAACCATTCAGTTAATTGTGCTGTTGGGACCTTTCCAACCCTGATAGCTTCTTCGGCTTCTCTTTGTTTGTCATCCCTCCTGCTCATCAGCTCGTCCGTGGCCCTCATAAGCACCTCCAAATTCTCTCTAAGCTTAGCGAAGTAAGTGATCTGATGAGCAAGGGGATCGCATACATATTTGCTGGCAACCTCCACAACTGGACCAATCATAGCCATTGAGGGAGACAAACCAAATGCTTTGGGCCTGGTTTCTGGAAAATTGAAGGGGGAAGGAGATGGACAAAGTTGCTTTTCCCTTAAATGCATGGTTGATGTGTCTCATCATCATGTATCGTGGCTGCTGTTTTATTGTAATTACTTTCCAAGCAAACCTTGATTTTTGTATTTGCCAGCCTCGGTTCTTCATATTTTTGCTCTCCCCCTCACAAGGGCCGTAAAATATTTTGGAAAAATTTAAAAAAACCTCAAGACTAAGAATGATAAAGTGTGTTTAATATTAAATGTTGAATACTCTGGCTGAATTTCATACTTTTGCAAACCCCTGACTATTGAAAGTCTAAACACCTGCCAAGTACTCTGGTAATAGTAAGACGGTCAATTTGCCCTTCAAATTCGACCTATACAGTTGAAAAGTACCCTTAGCGAAAATTTTGGGGTTTCATATTTTGATTTGGGATTTGCATTATGTTTTTGTTTTTACTCTAAAATCAAGTGAGGTTTGCATAAGGCACACGTCTGAAATTGCTTTGAGAAATATTTATTTGACAATCTTAATAGATGTTTGGAGATTAGGTTTAGGTGTTAGCAACCTCATGATGTCTTGAAAATTTATTTTTATCCATACGAAATTTCAGATTTTCTAAAGGAAATAGTTTATAAACAATCAAATCAATGTGCACTATGAAAAAATCACTAGAAGAGATTGTCTCAATGCCCAAAAATCCTCAAATTGATCATTTCGACCACAAGACGTTTGAACATGAGAAAAATGAACTTAAGTCTTGGAAATGGTTCATCTTGTAATGCATTTTTGGACCGTCAATTCTCAAGATGATCAAATGTTCATATATCTGCTCGATTTACACTATTTTTGAAGTTTTAAATTTCATATTTAGAGATGAAAATAAATTTTCAGCCATCACAAAGATTCCTGGTACTAAAATAGCATCTTTTGACACTATTTCAAGATCCGCGTTACTTTGATTGGTTAAAACCCTCGAGCGCAAAGGCTTTGGCTAAACCAACCAAGAGCAACTATAAACTCCTCACATGATCGCTTTTATAATAGGTCAATAGGATAATGACCAATATGGAAAGAGTATCTCACGCCTTCTAAAGATATGACTGATCTTTCTCTCTTTTTAAGTAAAAAATAAGAGAAAATACTACCCATATCAATCGCGTGAGACATCTCATATTTTATGGGATCATGACGTGGTCAAGAAGTCATGTTTTCATTTTTTCAAAACTGCCCTTTTAGAAAGACGATTTCCATTGGTGTCCCTACCTCATGGGATGGGACGCCCAACAATCACTCACTCCAATCTCAGGAGGGAGATTTTCCGATTTCCCTTTACAAATCAACCAGGTGTTCAAATGGTATCCATGTCAGTCATATTTCTCTATGACTATTGCTTGTATTTAGCCAATGTCATACTCTTGTCAGTATGGATTTTTCCTAGTTGTAACAATTTCTCACCCTTTTGCAGCCTGGACTGTCATACAACAACTCCCTTTACAAAAGCAATCAAGTATCTCGAGATTGACTTCCTGAAGTCTAGTTCTCCAATGATGTCTTCATTTGTGTACTCATGTAACACATGTTTTCTTTCCCCAAAACTCAAACACACTTTGGATGTTCCTCTGAGATACCTAAATATCCTCGTTGCAAAGATTAATGATGAATCTGCTCACCATGCTTCTATTGCATGTGATTCCTACAGCCAACCCATAGGGAACTTTTTGTATTTCTTCTTTCTTACTCTTGAATGGAAGGATCTTCCTGGCACTTAAATCCCATGCCTTCTTGCCTCTCAACAACTTTGCCAAGTCATAGGTGTGATTCTTATGCAATGATATGTCTCATCTTGCATAGCTTTAACCCCACATCTTTGTGTTTGTCGGCCTGAACTTCCTAGTAGATTTCTGGTCCACGCCTTCAGTGTATAGGACATACTCTGATGCGGGGTAATTGATAGAGAGTTTATGTCCCCTAGATGACCTTTTCAGTTCAATTGTAGGTGACTCTTCTTGAACAGGTTGCTCCTCATCAACTAGAACTGGCATGTCAACTCTTTGGACCCATCATCTTGTTTCACTTCTCCCCCGTCTTCATTTATTGTGGAGGAACCATGATCAGTTCTGAGCCATTGAAGATTTATGTGGTTTTGATATCTTTAATAGTAAGGTATTCCTAAAAAACCACACCCATTATCTTGATCTTCTTCCTGTATTCAAGATTGCACGACTTATAACTGAACTCTTCATCTGAGTACCTTTAGAAGATGCAAGGAGTGTTTTTCATTCACCTTGGATCTTTGTTCTTTGGGCAGGTACACCAATGCCTCAAACACCATCAAGTATTCCACTCCATAAAACAAAGCTGGTCTCATAGCTGTCCTATAGAGCATGCCCAAACATGCTTTACGAGCGGAAATTAGAATTGTTGTAAGGCAATACATTTCGCTTTCAGATTTGGCTGAAAGCCGAATTCGTGTCGGGAAACTCTCAAGGGAATCCGATCCTTGCTTTGATGGTTATGCGCTTTCTTAGAGGTCCATATATTTCATTTATTGCTATAGAAGCATGGGTGTCATTTTAGCCGGTGGAAAGATTTTTTAATATTATTTGGGTAGTTTAGTAGGGATGGGTCTCTCAAGCTAGTGCAAAAGTCAGTTGGGAGACCCCTTGTTTGCAGAGGTGTCTTCTTCATGTCACAATGGTAACAACCCTAGGTAAGTAGGCACTAAAGACCGAGACCGTGTTTTGCAAATAATTTGCGCAGATTACACTAGTGTTATAAAACCATACGGGCCGTTGGATCCGCGGGTCTATTTCTAATGTTCCACTGGTAGTATCACTTACGGGTTTCCTCCAATCAAAATGTTTGCCACTTGATTTTTAAAAAGCTAAATATATTCTATTCCTTTGATAGTAGAATTTACATTTACTCCCTCGGATAAAACCTTACTTAGAATTATTTTTGGGGATGTAATCTCTTTAACCCATGTATTATCTTCAATAAAAAGGAATTCCTAATTGTATTATCTATACACTTAAAAAATACTAATGTCTCAAGCCTGAATTGAGAGCTTCCAATTTTTAGATGGTGACCTCTAGGCTTTAGAAAACTCAAATTTCAACTTTTTTTAAAAAAATGATTATTTGGCAGTTGGTTTTCAAAATTTCAAATTGAAAAAATCCTCCCAAATAGATATTCTAAGTAAAATACTCGTGAAGCACACATGCTAAAAAAAATAAGGAAAAATGAGTTACCTAGAGATCTTAATAACTCTAATATTTTATTCGAAAACATAGATGTGGTGACGTTAGCTATCACTGAACCTAAAACGATCAAACAAACAATGGTTTATAGAAGTGGTTTAAAAAATGAATCGGTGCCCCGGATTGGGCACCCCAAACACCTATTCGGATCGATGAATCAACGATCCGGATCAGGAATGGATAGAATCGGTCGGATTAAACCTTTAAAAAAATCTAAAAAAATTATTAAAATTCATTATAAATATTCTTTTTTAGGAATCCAATAAGAAATAAGGGTACTACACTATTAACTTTCATTTTTTTTATCAATATGTGAATATTGGGATGTTTTTTCCTATATAAACTTATGTTAACAATTAAATTTACATCACACAAGAGAAAAATCATAGAATTATCATGTATAAAGAATATAATCATACGTGGACTAAAATAGAGAATGGATTAAATCGATTAAAAACTAGCCACCAAAATCATGAATTGAAAAGAATTTCCTAATCCATTAAAAAAAAAACAAATTATTATAATCTAACTAATATTGATCCAAAATTATTACAACCTAACTAACTATAATCTTATATACTAAAATTGAAATTGTTGGTTTACATTTTATAATTATTTTACAATATAAATAATAATAAATTCAAAATATATTATAATATCATCTAATTTAAAATATATTATTCACAACTGTAAAAAAAAGAAGTAAATTACATAATTTATACTGCAAATAAATTAATAAATAAATATAAGATTTAATTATCCATGTAGAAATTATTAGAATGTGTACCAATTTTCAAAAATCTAATTTTTTAGGTTTCAAAAATCAAATTTTTTAAGGATTTTAAGATAAATGCTGTTCAAATGCATGCTTAAAAAGCATGATGCTTGTTGTATTATTTTTTATTTATTTTTTGACAATATATATTTATTGTATTACCTTTCACTATAAACATTCCGTGGTGAATGGGCGATTTTTTAAACACCGGCTGCTTCAATGTGTGCTTTGAGTGACACATTTTTTAAACACTGGTTCATCTAAATTATTGACTGTTTCAAAGTGTGCTTTGAAATTATTGACTGTTTCAATGTGTGCTGTGAATGAGACATTTTTTAAACACTGGTTCACCTAAATTTTGGACTGTTTCAATGTGTGCTTTGAGTGACACACATTAAATGACTGTGACCAATAATGGTTCGTCGAAATTATTGACCGAATGAATGTGACAAATAATGGTTCATATAAATTATTGATTGTTTCAATGTGCGCTTTGAATGCTACACGTCTCAGTCGTATTTACTACGAATAATTCCTCTTTTACTTTTCCTTTACCGCATTCTCTTGTAACTCAACAAGTGGTTGTTTGGTCCTTCTCTCTTCACTTGTTTGCCATCTCATTTATTTCGAATTTTCTTTATTTCTCCTGTCTGTGCCTTCAATTGTTTCCAACCTCCAAAAAGGAGACGTGTATCTTTTGCTTTTTGCGGTTTATTAGGGGTCATTTCAAACTGCACAAAGGTACAAATGGGATTGCCCTTTTAGATCTCAAAGCCAATTTTGAGATTCATCGACTAATTTCATTGGATTGGTTCATATTTATAGTGGGCGGTCGAAAAGAGAGAATAATGGGTCTACAATCCTACAGAAAGTCTTACTTATATTCAATGATACATACATAAATAAGTTTCCAACATTGCAATGCTTTTCAGAAGACAGAGAGAGAGAAACAATTTGGTTTTGGATATATATATATATATATATAGCGATGGTCAGATGATCAACCCATACGTAAATGTCCAATGTCCTCTAGAATGAAGGTAATATATGACTACAGCAATCGAGGGCACCTTGCATATATAGATGAACTCTCAGAGGCTCATTCCAGAATTGGTTATACAGTGTCTCAAACATCAGCCATGAGGAAATTTTCAGAAAGAGATATCTGCATAACAGATATCACCTATTCAATCTTTTTTCGATAAAACACAGGAATGTTTATAGTGAAATGAGCAAAAGAACTATGAAGGAACGATGTGCATTTACCTTTTCGCTGAGTTTGAATGGGGGTAAACCCCTGTATGGCAGTCTAGTCCGGTTTTGATAACTATGGCTTAGAGCCATCACATCAAGCACCTCACAGAGGTTAACGCTATTGACTTGTAATTTTTTTCAATGGCCCAATGCAAAAAGAAATTGAACCCAAGTATCCTTCACCAAACTACCGGAAAAACTAAACCTTATTTACAAAGGAAGTGCTCTCGCATATCACTAGAAATATACTTGAGAAAAAAAATTAAAAAGAATATTGTGTTGTTCTTACTGTAAAAGATTGAGCATCTTTCAGTGTTGGCATCTGCTGCATTTTTTGCTTCAAGAGATCCTGCGAGGAGTAATTCATGTTCTCGATCAGCACGAACCTGCAAAATGAATGACTAACTATGAAATTTTGAACCACTGTTATAATGGCTTTAAATAGAGGACGCTAGTCGAAATGCGCAACCAAGCATCAGATGAGTGACATCCATTGAAACATTAACAGAATAGAAGTATATGGAGCTCTAATATAGTGGAAAAGTGGAGCAGGATTCATGTATAACTCCAAATAGTTGGGATAAAGCTCCGATGGAACTCTAAACCAATGGCTGGATATTCACTGTAGCCGAACGATTGTCGTTGTCCAAATCATCCAATCGGCAATAACTGCCATGACCACCACACACGTAATATAGCCCTATGGATCACAATATACCTTCTTAATAAGATTTTTTTGTTGATCAGGTGTCTCCTCTGAAGAAGCCTGAAATACGCTCCCGAACATCTACTCCCTCGGCTAGGAGATCTACCTGGGAGGATTTTTCAATTTGAAATTCTGGGAACCCCCTAAGAATTACTAAATTATTATTTTCACAAAAAAGTGAATTTTGAGTTTCCTAAATTTATATTTTTACCCTCTTAAAATTGGACGGTCTCTATTCAATTTTGAGGACCTTTTTTTCTGGACATGCAAGTTTTGTTGAGGTTAATCCAGGGGTTGAAGAGGTTACGTACACAAAATTTGGGATCCTAATATTAATCCTCGACAAAATTTTACCCAAGGGAGTAAATATACTTTCACGGGAGTACAATTTCTTTTGGCTTGCTAAACACCATAAATTAACGTGAAAAGATCTACCATTATACACTTACTCCCTTGGATAAAAGAGTTACTTGTAAGGATTTTTATCAATCTGAAATTTTGGGATTTTTTTAACCCAAACCCCCAAAATTGTCAGGATTTTGTGTTCCTAAACATGATCGTCAAAATTGGATGGTCTTTGTTTAATGTCAGGATGATGTATTTTTTGGAAGCCTATAACTATTTTTTTGGGGGAGGGATGGAGTGCGCAGTTTGGGAGCTTGAGACACATGGTGTATTTTCAGTCAAATCTGCATCTAAGTTGTTATTCATGATCGAGTATGATGGAATCAACCTTTACTTAGAAAGATATGGAAATGGAGAATTCCCCATAAGGTGCTAGATTTTATTTGGATGCTAGCCCTAAACAAAATTTTAACAAATGATAACCTTTGTAAAAGAGGAAAGATCATTGTTAATATGTGCTTATTTTGTAAAAGTGATGAAGAGAATGCTAACCATTTCTTTTTGCACTGCTCCTACTCAGTTAATATGGTCATGGGTGAGGCAAAAGGTTGGGCTGTAATGCCCTTTACCTGATTTTTTGTTTCTTATGGTGCTACAGTTGAAGTTATGTCGGTTCCGAAGATTGGAGGAATGTTGTAGGATATATTTAAAAGTACGAGTCATAGTTAGAAAGGAATCGAAGGACCTTTGATGGGGTCATCATTAGTAATCCAAGAAGGGAAGGGCAGGGCAGGGCAGGGAGGTATATGTAGGGATAGTAAAGGTAATGTTTTATTTTGCTTTGCTGCACCTTGTGGAGAGGCTACAACAAAACAAATAGGGGGCAGCAAGGGTTAAAGGCTGGGAAGGTGAGAAATCAGGGGAAATGCTTGATTATAGAAGGAGTCTATCAATGTTATTAATTGGTGTAGTGGTGTCTCTAGACACTGATGGCCTGTTTGATTTTTTGTGGCTGAAAATTTGGGACATATTTAACCTGTCTACAGGGAAGTGAACCCAATTGCTGATCACTTTGGCTAAGAAAGGAGTGTTTCTTGGGATTTTGTCTATTTTTTCTTCTTTGTTTTAGATTTATCATTGTAATAGGCCCAAAGATTTTATACTAATATTCAGTACTCTTGTCATACTTACTTCTTTTTTTTTTTTTTGGTATTTGGTCGTAGATTGAAGTAGTTAAATTCCACTAAAATTTGGGTCCCTAAAAAATTCATGTATCGGTTTTACTTAAGGGAGCAAATTGACAAAATGCGCTTGCTGGACTTTTGGCATTGTTAAAATTAAGTGAAGCATTAGCATACATACTTCCATCACAATTAAGCATCAAATCCGCTTTGAGGCTATGTATATCATTCATCATAAACCCCGCACAACAACCTAAAGTATTTGGTAAGTACATGACACATTTTAAGAAATCAGAACTTCAGCAATTAAGCATCAAGGCTTTCAGACTTTCTGTATAATCTAGTAACCCTTTTCCTATACAGTAGTGATGAATACTTGTATCGAGGAGTCTTTAGGGAAATACAAGAAGATAGACCTAAGGTCTGCATCTAAGCAATCATAGCTGAACTTTAAGACACGTAATGTATTATCCATACCTGGGAGACTTGCAGCTGAGGGGTTCAATATTCGTAGGGCATGGCATCTTCCCGACTCTCCTTGCATGCCATAGCCCGAGCAAGAGCAAGAGCAAGAGTGGGCAATCCCCCCCACTTTTTAATAACCTTTCTAGCCAGGGGATTGAGAAGAAATATGAGGACCGGCCTTGTCAAGGAATAAATTCCAAGCCTCTTCCTTTGATAGTGTTTTTACTTCAACTGTGCACTCACCATAACAATCTTACGACCATCCTTCCTTCTTTTGTGGTCGAGGAATTCCGATTTCTTTGAGATCCAATCTCTTCCACATGTCATCCAATATTAGTAGGTACTTCTTAGTCCAATAATTTCTGTTTTTTATCTTCGTCCAAATTCAAATGCAAGCACCTTAAAATTTGGATGTTCGGATATCGTGACCATTATCACAACCTCAAAATGAGGGATCGGGCTGTGGTTTGATGATCCTCATATGGTTGTGGTTCTAACTCTATTGCAGGCAGGCTCCGGAGGTGGAGTTGTTGCTAACCTATCAAAGTTTCTTCCACACAAGCGGTCGGCCTCTTTCCTGAGCTTGGCTGCTCTCTTGCCGAGTCTATAACGTGACCAACAATTTGTACACACCCCGCTTAGGCACGTCCTTCCTTGTTCATACTCATCTTTTATTCTTTTTGCTTTTTCATCAATTTCAAACACTGCTTTTATCCATTGCTTTATTTCTTCAGTGAGGATCTTTTTAGCACTCATTGCCGCTTCTAACTCCCTCCATATCTCATCTCTCCGGCTACCCACCTCATCTGTTGCTCTTCTTAGGTTCTCTACATTCCTTTTGAGTAGTACCAAGTATCGAATCTGCCCACAGATGGGATCACATACCCATTTTAGAGAGAGGCATTTTGAAAGGAAAAATTCAAGCTGGTAATAAGAGAAGACGGAAGATTGGGAAGCAAAATTTGCAAGGGAAGAGTTTTCAATTTTACAACTGAGAGAGAGAGAGAGAGAGAAAGAATTTTGATGGACTCAAGAGAGAGAGAAGAGCAGGTGGACAGTTTGTTAGCAAGGAGATGAGAATGATATTTTTGCACTCTCACAGGGCGCGGCTAAAAATGGAGACTCCTACATTTACTTATGTGTTTGTGTGTGTGTGAGAGAGAGAGAGAGAGAGTTTTGATGGACTCAAGAGAGAGAGAAAGAGCAGGTGGACAGTTTGTTAGAAAGGAGATGAGAATGATTTTTTTTTTGCGCTCTCAAAAGGCGACTACAAATGGAAACTCCTACATTTACTTATCAAGGGGTGGTGTGGTTTATATAAGGTGTTAACTTTAGATGGCCAAAGGAAGGTGCACATCTAAATATATCTAATTTTTTGCGTCAAAAAGCTTTATGATGGCTTATTTATCAAATAAAAACAAAATAAAAAAAAATAAAAAAACAAAACAAAACAAAACGAATTTCAAGTACTTGAAATAAGTAACATGTTTTTGGACCGCCTCATGATGAAAATACATTTCCCTCAGGGGACAAAAAACAGCTTTATAATGGTTTAGAAATGTATTTTCGTCATGAGGCGGTCGAGAAACATATTACGCATTTTTAGGACTTCAAATTTTTTATTTTTTTGTTTTTTCATATCATACATAAATTGAAATATTTGTAAAGCAGAACAACAGTTTTTGGCGGATTTTGATGTGCAACTCACTTCCATTGTATAGGGTTAACACCTCATTTAAAGTTTTGCGTTTATTGACTAGTCTTGATATCACCATATTCTTAAAGTAATATTGGGCTGACATATTTTGAAAAAGTATATTTTTTGGAAGGGAGGACATCTTTTCTTTTAATTTTGGAGCAGGTAACTCCACTCATAAATTTACATGGAAAATTACAAAATACCCTTCAAAATGGACTTTTTTTACGCATTTTACTTTACCCAACTTTTCCTAGCAAATACCCCAAAGAATTTTTTTTTACAAAAATACCTTTCCTTCATATAACAAATTATTTTCATTGTTTTTTTTTACGAAAATACCCTTCATTCGTCTAACAAATTATTTTCGTTGGAGGGGGCGGTCAGGCATTTTGAATAGGCGGTCCAGTTATTATTTTTGCTGGAATGGTTTGTCTGGCATTTCATGGTGGCTATCCAGCATTTCAGGTGGCGGTTTAGCGATTATTTTTTGCTGGAATGGTCTGTCCAGCGTTTTCAAGTTGCGGTCCGGCATTTTGAAGGGGCAGTCCGGCATTTTGAAGTAGCGCCCCGACGTATTGAAGTGAGCAGTCTGGCGTTGTAGAAGTGCGGTCCGGCGCTTCCTTTTATTGGAATCCGAAAATGATTTGTTACATGAGGGAAGCGTATTTTCGTCAAAAAAAAAAAAATCTTTTTGTATGAGGGGATCCGAAAATGATTTGTTGCATGAGGGAAGGGTATTTTTGTCAAAAAAAATTATCTTTTTGTATAAGGGTATTTGCTAGGTATTTACTAGGAAACATTAGTTGTTATGGGAAGTTGCTAGGAAAAGTCGGTGGGATAAAGTGTATAAAATGTCCATTTTGAGGGGGTTCGCAATTTTCCCTAATTTATATTAGAATGAATTAAAAATGACTTCGATTAAGTCAAAAATAGAAGTTACTTAAAAATATTTGAAAGGGAGAGCCCATGACATCTTTTCTTTTAATTTTGGGGCAGGTAACTCTCTACCCATTAATTTACATAAGAAATAATTAAAAAAATTTATATAAAGTTGCAACCTTAAAATGTAGAATTATAGATGCACCTCAAAAGTCCAACGGAAAGGTCGTTTTAATATTGAAAAGCCTTCTAATTGATCATCTCGACAAAGAGGTGTATGAATATGAAAAAAAAAAAAAGGATTTTGAGTCCCAAAAATAGTGCATCTTGCAACACATTATCTAGACCATCCAATTTTAAGATTTTCATATGTTTATAGATCTACTTGGTTTTAACTATTTTTGAAGTTTAAAATTTTATAATTAGATATAAAAATAGATTTTGAGATAATCCTAAAAAAAATTTACATCAAATTCCATGTTATGATAAATTTGGATGTGCGCCTTAATTGGATTGTTTAAGGTTGCTACCTTATAGAAACCACACCCTAACTCAAAAATTAAAGTCACTTAAAATTTTTTGAAAGGGAGAGACCGCTGCATATCTTTTCTTTTAATTTTGGAGCAGGTAACTCTACCCATTAATTTATATAAGACGTAATTAAAAATGACTTTGATTAAGTAAAAAATAGAAGTCACCTAAAAAAGAAGAAAATTATACCGAGCTACCACTTAAAAAAAAACTGTTAAGTATACGAACAAGATGCTCCGCGTCGTCTTCACCGTCTCTTCTGAGCATGAAAGAGTCAAGATTTCCATGCTCAGTCACAGAGATATATATTATCAAAAAGAAACGAATGGGTATCAAGAAATGGGCAGAGGCGTTTGCACTCTTATCAGCTCTCAACTGTGGGCTCCTTTGGTTGGGCTAACCATTCAAAAATCGTCGGTCCGACTTGGGATGATGTGGGAATCAATCGGAGGCTGGCAAATCCTTGGAACTGCATGTCATCTCATTTCTATTTTTTTTTTTCTTTTTAAGAATTACTTTTTTCTCGTTGAATATAGATCGGTTCGGCTCAGGAATTGCCCTAATCAGATAAGGAGATATGGAATAGGGTCTGACCTAGTCGGAGCAGCCTGGATGCTGATTTTTTGGATCAACAGTCTAAACTTCACCCCAACAGATCATGCATAGCAAATGCATTGATACCTGACATCTCTAACAGAGGAGAGAGGCTACATCACCACTTATTTTTTTTACTTTTATTTTTTATTTTTTCTACAAGTAACTATTTCTTTTATCTTTTATAATTTTCAAGTGGGGACTAGGGAAGCAAGGCACCGGTGGGTGTATGATGTTCTACTTGTACGTTTCCAAAATTCGAAAAGGATATCAACTACCTAAAACAAACCAATTTGCAAGAAAAAAAATATATATATATATATATCTTTTTTTTCTTTTTAAGAATTAAATTTTTCTCGTTGAATATAGACCGGTTTGGCTCAAGAATTGCTCTAGTCAGATAAGGAGATATGGAATGGGGTCTGACCTAGTCGAAGCAGCCGGATGCTGATTTTTGGATCAACAGTCTAAAACTTTACCCCAACAGGTAATGCTTAGCATATGGAGTGATACTTGACATCTCTAACAGAGGAGAGAGGCTACATCACCATTTATTTTATTTTATTTTTTATTTTTTATTTTTTTTTTACAAGTAATTATTTCTTTTATCTTTTATAATTTTTAAGAACTATTTATTTTATTTTTTATTTTTATTTTTACAAGTAACTATTTCTTTTATCTTTTATAATTTTCAGGTAGGGACTGGAGAAGCAAGACACCGGTGGGTGTATGATGCTTTACCTGTACGTCTCCAACATTCGAAAAGGATATCAACTACCAAAAACAAACCAATTTGCAAGAAAAAAAATGATTAAAACCAACATCATACTATCTCCCTGGAGAAATATGTAATTGATAATAAAAGAAAGAATTTATGAATAGGCATAAAAGCATTAGGTTGACTAGTTTTGTAATGTATGTTATTGACCTCTTCTCCATCCTAACTTAGAAAAATGTCGAGTTTAATAAGCCGGGCAAGGTAAGAAACATTGTAAATTAGATATATATTTTTAGAGAACGGGTCTCTGCATCGGTGGTTAAGAGGCGAGGCAGGTACCTCAACATAACATCCTAAGCTCCATTCTCAAGTTATAAAACTCCCCAAAAATGGACATAACATCCTAGGCTCCGCTCCCATAGACTAATGCTCGTTATTTCTAAAATAATAGATATAACACCGTTATAAAAGGTTTATCTAATAAATAATTGCAATATAACAAAGGAAAATTGTTTTATGTGGGCTGGACCGCATTTCTACAATATGCGGTCCAGAGGTATAAAGCATTCATCTTAATAGACATGCGGTCTAGAGGTATAAAGCTTCCATCATGAAGATGAATGCAAATAGGTGATTCATAAAAAAACAAGTGTAACTAACAGTCCAAATGTTTTTTTAATATAGTTATTATTTTTAGTTTTTATTTTTTATTTTTATTTTCATATTCATGAGCTCCATGTTAAAGATTATATTTTCTCTAAAAAGTATGATCAAATTATGTTTAAAAAGTATATTTATTGCCAAGCCCGCATTTCTACAATATGCGAGCTAGCCGCACAAAAAACCATGTCCGATAACAAATAGTAATTGCAATAAAGTAAAATATGTAATTCCAATATGTTTCTTCCTTTTGGTGATTTAAATTTCATGTTTAATTTTTTTCAATCAGATTTCAGATCGGGTAGTTGTGAGTTTTCATTGACTAAGAGCAAAGTTTATAATTACGAGTAAAAATATATTTTTAGGTCATCCTAAGAGTTTCTTACAACAAAATTGTGCATCTTTTAGTAAGATTTAGAGGTTTACTTTAATTTGATTGTTTAAAATTGCCAAACAACATATTTTTTGCCACCTTATAGTTACAAAAATGTGGTGTTTGGCAATACTCGTTGGCTTATTGGTCACGGAGATGAGATTTTTTTTTCTGGTTCAATAAGTAGCACAGGGATTAGGCTCTATACTTACTCTTTCTAGAACTCTTTATAAGAGTAAGATGTCCGGCAGTAAAAATTTCAAATTTATTCTCATGCTCACCGTCAAGTGCTGCTATAATAGATTATCGAACCTAATTATTTCCTCAGCATTTATTAACTATCATTCAGGATGTTTACATCTTGCCTTAAGGTAAAAGATGGGATTATATGGGAAAGTGAAAGTTACGATGTTTTTTCTGTTAAATCTGCTTGTAGACTTCTATCCAATGATCGTCTAGAGACTATCTACATGCGATCTGGAAATTGAAAGTTGGACTCTGTGATAAAGCACAATATATATATATATTTTTATTTTTATTTTCTTTCACCGGCAAGATCACTTACAATGTCCAATTACAAAAAAAATTATTCTTGACATAAATAAATAAATAAAATGGTTATCTTTTGCTACCACTTAAATACAACTCATTTATTCAATAAATAAAAACTTATCATGTTGTTTTATGATAATACAAGAACACAACAAAAATAATAAAATAAAGTAAGTAAAGTTGTCAGAGATTACTTCAACCGGACTTAATACACCCGACACCGATTCTCCTTTTTCCAATGGTGCTCGGGATCAATGATCGATATCGATTCTATTAAGTATGGCTAAACCCTCCAAAAGCACATGGATTTTATCTTAAACCAAAGTGCTAAATCCTCAATGTTTTAGCCTACCTTACGTGTGGGGCTAATCCTTTAGAGAGATGAGAGGCCTAAGCAGGGCGTGCCCCTAGAGAAAGAAAGAGAGAGTAGAAAGAGCCTATTCGGAGAGACAAGGGAGAAGATGAGAGGTGTAGAGATTTAGGGAGAGGGAGCTATAATGATTTCATCCATAATGCCGCTAAGACTCCATGGCATGAAGTCCGGCCGATTACACCATTTGATCAAGTTCGTTGAAATTGGCTTTGATTTCGGTTTTTAAAAAACCCGAAAATGGGTAGTTTCATTTTTTTAAAAAAGAAAATAGTTATGTAGTAAATAAAACGGACATATCAGAAATAACAGAAAGTATTCAGTATTTTAGTGATAACATAAACTTAAACGGATATTTACATAATTTCCCCTTTTAAAAAAAAAAAACTAGAGGTATATTTACTAGAATAGTATTCAGTATTTTAGTAATAACATAAACTTAAACAGATATTTACATAATTTCCCCTTAAAAAAAAAAGTTTATTTAATAGAAAAGGTTTATATATATATAGTATCAATATGAAGGTTAGAAGTAGGGTAGAACTTAAAAATCCGTCCGAAGAGGTTATTTGGCATAAAAAAGGGCCGATTAGATTTGGCACTCTCGTTTTGCGAGATCAACTGAGGGACAAAATGGTAATGCTTGGAAGAAGAGGGGCAAGGATGGGGATGTTTCCCATATTTCGACGAAAATATTCATAACATTTGGGGCCATCCGTCATTTCAACTGCTCCTTATCCTCTCTCTCTCTCTCTCTCTCTCTCTCTCTCTCTCTACTACTACGTACTACGTACGTAACGTACGTACGTAACCGTACGTACCGTACCGTACGTACCGTACCGTACCGTACCGTACCGTACCGACCGTAC